GGGCTCCAAAGCAACCAAGCAGCACCCAAGGGAGACACCACCCCAACCCCCCTCCCACTGGGCACCCAGCAGCATCCCCACCCCATGGACGGGCCCTCCCTTAGGAGCTACACAAAGAAACAGCTCCTACAAAGCCCTCCTCCCTCCTGGCCCCATGCATCAGCACACGGAAAAGCAAACTTCATTCCCAGGAAATGAAAGTCTATGAGCCCTGCTAAGATATAATTAATGGGGAACATCATTTGGACCACAGGAGACAGTAAGGCAGTGTGCAGGGCTCCAGGGGGGAGGGAAGTCCATACAAACCCACTTTTGTGGGGTGTGCAGCAGCCCAAGTGCACGTGTTATGCATCAGCTGGAGCGGATGCCGTGCTGACTTGTAAGCACTCCTGGGTTATGACAAAAAAAAAGCAGGCATTTGTTTGGCTCCTCTGCGACAGAGCGTGGCCATGCATAACAGCTCTGTTAATGAATGCAAATGATCCCTGCCCAAAGGGAGGCCTGTTCTCTCCGCACAAAAAAAAAATAAAACATATTTTGCTGAGAGTGAAGAGAAGCATGCTGAGCAATAAGCAGAGAGCAGAGCATCCTCTGGGGAGAAGCTCGCTGATGGCCCCTTCCCCAGCCAGGCCCAGCAGAACGGCCCTTTGTTGGCTGCCCTGGGTGAAGGTTTCTGTCTGCCAGCAGATATCCTGCACAGCTGGCCAGGGGAGGGGAGAGGGTGAAAACAGCCCTACACCAGCACTCAGAATCCCACTCCAACCCCACTGCGATGGGTCCTGAATCGTTTCCCAGCAAGCATCCTTCTGCATCCAGCATTCCCATAATGAACAGAGATACCCAGTTAATGTTAAAGCTCAGAGAAAAGCCAGACTGGACAGAACAGGGGGCACAGGCAACTGCTGCCCAGCTCGGGTAGGGAAGCATCTTCCTCCCTCTTGGAGCCAGGCTGTGGAGAAGATGTTCTCCTGCATTCCGGGGACTGCTCCTTCCCTTCAGCAATCATGAGACACAATCATGAGCTGAGCTGGCAGGAACAATAGCTGCTGTTGTGCTGCTGCAGCGTGAGGCCACAAACACAGCAGTACGGACACCCAGGGACCTGGCTGGGCACAATGCAGGCTGCCCACACATCTCCCCTTCCATCTGGCATCACGGAGGTCCCGTGAAGCTGTGTGCTCTTGCTGAGCCACCCCTTCTGGTGCATCTCTGGGCTCTGAGGGCTGCGTTTGAAGAGAAGCTTTAAGCTAGCATCAGTAATCCTCTTGCAGCAGGCAGCTCTGAGACAGCAGCGCCGTTTGCACAAGCTGCAGCTGATGCACACTACCTGCCCTTACACCTCCAACTGAGATAGCCCAAATTTTTGCTGATTTCAGAGAGCCTGACACGGCTCATGGTAGAATATATTGCTCTGCTACCACTCCCGCTCCCTTCCCGACAGCAAACATGATTGAAGCAGGTTGGAAATCATCCAGCTGTATACACCCAGGGCACTAAATCTGGGTAATTGTCCTCAGCAGAGCTTGTGCTGGCATCACTGGCACAGACAGGACACTCTGTGCCCTCACTACAGCACTGAGAAACTCAGCCTCTCCTCGCTCTGCATTCATCCAGGGAATCTGAACGGACAGCACGCAGCAGCTCCTCTTTAACATGAGGTTAATCAAGTGTTCAGCCTGGAAGAGATGAAGTCACCAATTGTGAGGAAGCAGAGGGCACTAATAGCTCAGGAGCTGCAAGTGCACTGCTCCAGCACTGCTGCTGCAGTGACCCCATGGGGTGGCAGAGCCCCCATATGGAGCTGGTTGTGTCCTCCTATCCCTCACATCCTCCTTCTGCTCCCCAAACCCTCGTGCTGTGGGTGGCAAGCAAGGCCTGTGCTGCTCCTGCAAGCAGTGGAATTAATCTGAGAGCCACAGACAGCGCTGAGTCTGCAGGACTGAGAATCCCCAGCTCTCAGTAGGGTTGTGTTGTGTGTGTTTTTTTAATGAATTAGGCATAAGTGACACGCGCTGAATCCTCCTGTCTAGACATCTGCAGAGAAGTGACAAGCTGCCAGAGAGGATGTGGAGCCTTGGCAAGGGGGTGGGGAGGGCAGGGGAACACTGCACACAATTGCCAGCTCTACAGCACAGACACAGCGCTGGCTTCAGGCAAGAAGGGCATTCAGCACATTGACCTCGTCAGTGCCTTTCAGCAGCTCAGCGGGTTGTAATCAATAGGTTCTGGTGCATACAGAAGGCTGGAGGTCTCCTAATGGAAGCTTTTCTCCCCATTTCTCCTGGGGCGTTTTGTTTGGATCCCAGTTCCCCCAACCCCTATTCAGAAATGCCTTTGCTGCCATAGGTGAAAAAAGAGAAAGGATTTCCCTGGGTGCACGCTCTGCTCCCTGCCCCATGCACACCCCTCCCAGGCAGCCACTCTTCCTGCAGATATCCTCAATGCAGCTCTCACGTTGCTTGCACAAGGGGGATGGGCTCAGCTCCATGCACAGCTGATGGACTCAGAGGCAGCTGTGCTGATGTTTGGGTAACATCAAGTAATGGTTCAGGCCCGAATGGTTTCAGTTCCAGCAATGGGAAGAAACAAGCAATGGGAACTAATTCATAAAGATGCCTTTGAGATGCTCAGCAAAAGGCGCAGGTCTCCAGCTGCACTGGGATCACACAGCAGCTCCTACAGTCCAGCACAAAGCACACCAAAATCCAAACAAAAGCAAATCCTCCTGCCTCTGCCAAGGGCTGGAAATGTGGGCCATGTCCCAAATCCCCCTTCCCAGCATCACTCAGCATACAATGGAGAGCAGCTGTCACATCCAGCACTGCTTTATGGCACAAGCAGTGTCAAACCTCCACACAGAGGCATGGAGAAGGTCCCTTCAGGCAACAACTAACAGCTCCAACTGCACTACCCATCACAGTGGCACTCGTGAGCTCCTCTGACAGACACCTCTGACCCCAACTTCCTCTCCAGAAAGGCAAACAGAGTCACAAGCAGAGCCCGGGCCAGGTGCAGGCAGCCCCTGGGGGAGGAACACTGCACTCCTGGCTCCCATGTCTTGTCATGGAACATCCCAATGGCACCTTTTTCCATTGCCCTTCAATTAGCACTGTGCCCTCCCACCTGCCTGCTCTGCACAGCGATGGTGACTGCAGCGGGTGGCATCGGGCCAGCTTGGAACAGGCTGTGGTCAGTGGGCACCGTGGGGATGGGCTGGGATGGGATTTGGGGGCATCAGTGGTCTTCTCCTACCTGAATGCTTTCACGATTCTCTGATTACTTCGCTGTGTTGCCTCGACATCAGGCAGGAGCTATGGATGTGGTGACACTCGTGGGTTACTAACTGGCTTCTCAAGGGAGTGCTGATGACATGAGGCAAGGTGACATGGGGGAGGAGGGTAGAAGAGACAAGGAAAAAGTTGAGAGAAGGACAAGGGACCTTCCTTGTCACCCAAGGTGCTAAGCAGTGGTTCCATTCAATCCTAGATCATCAAGCCAAGAGAGAGGGAACTACAATTCCTGCCATCTCCTGCTCTGAATGTTTGCTTCATTCGTGCATCAATCAGCTCTCAGGAAGGAAATTCCGACCTTTACATCCCAAATCCTTCAGCCTCACTCACTGCTATGCTGAATGCCAGGGTCAGGAGGGAAATTTGGGCTGCAGAGAGGAGATTCCAGGAGCAATTGCTTGGCTGCAGTGATTCTAACCAGAAAGTTGTACTGAATCACAGAACCACAGAATCATTAAGGTTGATAAAGACCTCAAAGATCATCTAGTCCAACTCCAGTCCATCACCACTGTGCCCGCTATGTGAGCCCAAAAGTCCACAATGTCAGATGACCTTTCTGCATTTGGGATCTGCACAGCACTCTGTGTCCCACTTGGAGCCAGCTTGGTGCTGCAAATGGGGCAGCCAGCAGCTGAGGGAACATAAGGTTAGCTGCATTGTTTGCTTCTTCCTTACAGCCACAGCTATTTTGCTCTTAGGGAGGCTGGGTGACTTCCTCACTGGGACCAAACAAAGGAGCATCTCACAGAGCGCTGGCACGCAGGCATCACAAACCTGTTGCAGGATCCCTATACAACGGATGGATGGTCAGGAGACCTCTGAGGCTCCTCTCAGTCCTTGGAGCCAATAAATTGCCTCCATTCACCTGGCCACCATCAGCTCCCCGTGTTGCTGAATCACCCTGGAGCCACTCTCCCTCCTGCAGAGACCCCATCATTCCAGGACAGCATCCGTGCACTCTGCTGACCCAGCCCAGCAGCTGGATGTGCTGGTGATGACTCCAGCCCCCTGCTGCCCTGCTGGCTCCCAGCAAGAAGAGCTCCGTGCCCTGATGGTCACTGCAGAGGCCCCAAAACCTCCATCCCGCACTGCATCCCGCATCCCCCGGGTACCACCAAACCGCGCTGACATTTCTCCCTTTGCCCTTCAGCTCCTCCGCAGCAAACAGCACCCAACAGCCGCTGTGCGTTTACGGAGATGACACAAAACGAGATCGCAGAGCCACCGTCGGGCCCGGCAGCGCGACAACCCCGTTCTGCGCCTTGGGATGGCTCCGTGACCGGGCACACAGCGGGCCGGTAAGAGGACAGCCTTAACGGGAGAGGTGCGGAGCGCAGCGCTGCCCTTCCGCATCCCGGCGGTGCCAACTCGCTCCGGGGCTGCACCCACCGATCTCCCGGGACGCCTCATTGCGAGCCCCCGCCCGCAGCCCCACCGACCCCGAGCCTCTCCATCCTCACCGGCCAGGCCCTTCCCACCTCCGACCTGCCCCGATCGCCCGTACCGTTGCCGGCAGGGCCGTGCCCGCGCTACTCACGGCTCCGCACGGCCCGGCCCGCGGGATGCTGCGGGCTCCGCTCTGCCCGCGCCGCTGCCGCCAGCCCCGCGGCGGGGGCGGGGCCTGGAGGACAAAGGGGCGGGGCTAGAGGCGGGGCTAAAACATCGACAGCGGTTGAACCGCGCTAAGCCACGCCTACAAAAGAGTTAACCACGCCCGGGCGCTGCGTGGCCACATCCCCACGCCGCGCGGCATGTTGGGAGCGGAAGTGCGGCTGCCGCGAGGAGCGCGCGGGCGGCATGGCGGCTGCCGGGAGGAGGTGAGGGCTGTGCGGGCGGGGAAGGCCCGGCTGGGAGCGGGGTGCGTTCCGCTTAACTCTCTCTCTTCGCGTTTCTCCTTTGGGCCCGCAGGAAGCTGGAGGAGCTGAGCGTCGACGAGTTCCTCGCTAATGGCTTCGAGTCGGAGCCCGACGGCGGTTCGGAGGAGGAGGAGGCCCGGCCCAAGGCGGGGGGGAGGCGGCCCCGGCCCAAGGCGGCCGTTCGGTGAGGATCTGGGGGTCGGGGCTGGGCTTCAGCCAGCTCTGCAAGGAGGGGGAGCAGGCCTGGCTCTCGGGAGAGGCTGCGTGAACTGCCTTTGTTTTTCTTGGGGAAGAGAAGGCTCTGGGGAGACCGCCGTGCTGCCATCCGGGGGGCTCGTAGAGGGCAGTGAGGCTCTGATGCTGCTGCCCAGAGCAGTGTGAGTGCCCCGTCCCAAGCCCAGGCTGAGCCTTGGGCAGTGTGACGCGGTGGGGGGCACCCAGCCCACAATAGGGGTTGGGGTCTGTGAGTGCTTTAAGGTCCCTTCCAACCAAAGGTATTCAATAATTTTGTGTTTTCTTAATCCTGAGTTAAAATAAGCTTTGATGAGGCCAGAGCAGGTGTTGGAGCCACAGCTCTGATTGTCCAATCACCACTTTAATTAGCTGCAGGTGTGCATAGTGCCCAGTGGTTGCTTGCTTTTCATAGAGCACCAGCAGAAGCTTGAGCAATGAGTAAACATCTTTTAACTCTTCTCTATCAGAAAGAAAGGAAAGGCATCTGAGCATAAAGACCAGCTCGCCCGACTGAAGGAAAAGGATCCTGAATTTTACAAGTTCTTGGAAGAAAATGACCGCACGCTGCTGAACTTTGATGCTTCAGACAGTTCTGAGGAGGAGGAGGAGGGAGGCTTGCACATCCCACCTGACTCATTAGAGGTACCAGAATGCTGAAATCAGTTATTTCAATTACATGTGAAATGTTTTGAATTTCAGTGCAGGTGTTAATTATATTTGGACTGATGATTGCACTAGTGAAGGGGTTCTCCAAAGATCAGCTGCAGGTGTTTGTGCTTGTAACCCAGAAATCAGCTGTGGCTTTGAATTGAGCATGAGTTAAAGATTGTGAAGGCAGAGCCTTGCACCACCTTTTCCCTGTGGCTTTAGGCTTGTATTTATTTCCTCAATGAAAGTTTATTTTACTTCAAGCCTTGACCTTGGTGATTTCAATTACTGCACATCATACTTATGTAGTGAAGCTGCAGGGCTGAAGTAGCTTTATTGCAATTAGTAATAACCTTAATTTTGTTACAGCTTTACACAAAGTGCTGATAACACAAGTTGTTGCTACTGCCTACTTGCCTCCTCTCTAGTTATTCAACAAAAGAGATGGGACCACAAAATATGTGTATGAGCATTTTCTAAGTCTTGATATCAACTTTTTTAGGAAGCGAGTGATGAAGGTGAAGAAGATGAAGAAGAACAGGAGAAAGGCAAACAGAAGAAAGTTGAATCCATCCCTGTGAGCTTGAAGATGGTTGAGGAATGGAAGAAAGCTGCAGAGGTGAGCAGGGAATTAGAATACAAAGCACTGGAGCGTGTTCTTTTAAATGTTGGTCCACATGTTGCCACATCTAAAGGCTGTGTTTTAATTTGTTCATCTTTCACAGAAGTACAGAGGAGATGTGTGCTGGTCCTGCCCATAGAGTTTGTGTTAGTTCAGTGTGACTTATCTTTGCAGTTTTCACTTGGGCTGCAATATTACTCTTGCTCTGAAGGGAAAGATAGTGAAAGAAGTGAAGAGTGGTTCAGAAGCAGGCAGAACGATTAATTCTTGTTCTCTTCATTGCTGTGTGTTGTGTCTTGGACAGTTCCAAGAACTTACCTGAAGTTACATTTTGAGCAATGTATTCTGATGAAATATCTTGCTGTATGTGACAGTGGGAGGGAAAGGTTAAGCTGGATAATTACTTGCAGCTGTTTCTGCTTCTCCAATCTCTTGCCCCTCAACCAATTAAAAGCCTTCAACTTTTAAAGCAGGTGAAAGCCATTAGCAGTTGCTGATTGCTTCAATGCTTTTTCTTATGTTAAAAGTTCTATTTTTTTTACAGTTAAAATAAATTCCAGCACTCCTATCCCTATAAAATACTTCAGAAGTTTGCTGTTTGGTTTTTATTCTTTCCTCAGAGAGGGCTAACACCAAGACTTTTCCATGAAATCACTCAAGCATTCAAAGCAGCTGTAGCAACTACCAAAGGAGACAATGGTGGTGCTGATCCCAGCAAGTTTCAAGTCCTTGATGCTGCAGGTGAGTTGATTGCTGTGCTTTGTGTGAGAAGGGAATCCATTTTGGAGGGAAAGCTGCTCTGTTGGAAGAGAGGGTAAGCACTGATGGAGCAAACTTACCCTTTCCTCCTTGCTGTTGTCTTTAGGGCTGATCTTACAAGATTATTTTGTCTTTTCCCCCTATGATGTCCTGCACTGTCGTTTGGAGCTCAGTTCTGCTGTCAAGTTCATATATCCCTAGCCAGGACCTCTCAAAATACTGCAGATGTAGATCTCCTCTATAGAATTACTGTGTTGTAGCACAGATGACATAGAACTTACCTCCCTTTTATGTGAGCTCCAGGCTGTACTCTGGGGGAGAGTGGTATATTTCTGACCAGAAATCATGGATCAGGCTGGAAGCTTGTGGAAACTGTAGTTCTGTGGGAGTTACTGGCTTCAGCTCTTTTTTGAGGAGCTCTTCTCAGCTGAGAAGCTATGGAAAAAAAAAATATTTATGAAACAATCATTTGTAAATGCTTTAACTTTTTCTAACCAGTGTTCAATGCCCTTGTGTCCTTCTGTGTCCGGGACCTCTTCAACTGCCTGCAAAAGCTGCTGCTTGTGAAAGCCCCTAAGAACAAACAAAAGTAAGTCTGAGATTTGAGAATTGCAGGTGAGAGCTGTGTGAGATTATTTCAGATCTGCATTCTGGCATGAGGCTGGAAAAAGATGGCAGCTTCAGAGCTGCCTAGCCAAGTTTTCTTTTTCCCTTCTGAAAGGGCATCCTCTCTAATGTTAGACTCCAGCTGCTTGCACAGTGCATTGGGTTTAACAGAAGGGCATCTAGAATTGTGTGTGCTTGTGTTCAAGAGCAGTGTTAAGGCATGGTGAGTCAGATCTCAGAGGAAGGAGGCCCAAGCCTTCTGCATACAACGAGGCCAAGTACTTCAAGCAGTTGTTTCTACTGCCTGGCAGTACTGAGGAAACAAATCCACTGTTCTTCATGCTTTGCTGCTGCTTTTTAAATCTAAGCCCAACTCTTGTTCACTTGCAGGATGGCCCTCCCTTCCAGCAGTCCACTTTGGAGCAAATTGCGACTGGATGTAAGAATGTACCTGTCCTGTACCATCCAGGTAAGAAACCTCATGTTTGTGTTGCCAGCACTGGGCTGTGTATCTGTGGGCTTTTGATCTGGGTGTTTTGGAATGAGGCAGGTGAGCTTTTGCTCACCATCACTAAAAGGAGAGCCAAACAGTCAACAAGGCAGGTGTGCTGTGAGGCAGTGGTGGCAGAATGACCTAGCAGGAGCAGCATTTTGATCTGCAGAGCCTTTTCCTCAAGTTGTGGTGCTTCTTGCCAGTGGCAGAACTTGCAAGAGACTCAGTGCAGAGTCCTTGCAGTGCAAGGAGAATGAGAAAGATTTGGCCATTTATAATGAGGTGACAGTGGTACTGGTGTTGTCTATAAGGTGTCTTAAACAATATATACCCTGAGTTGTTACACTGCATCATTTAAGTGATGAACCTGCATGCCAGCACCCTGTGCTCCTGTTTGCCAAGATGATGTAGGTTCAGGGCAGTGATTTAACCTGGCACAGTCTTGCTCTATTCCTGATATAGCTCAGGTTTTTGGGCTTCCTTCTGGAGGAGGCTTTTGTTCCAGTCCTTTGGTAACACAGTTACTTGAGAACAGTCAAATGAGATGCTTCATAGTTAAAGGAAGACTGCAAGCTAACTAAGCTTGCTTTGTTTTTCCCTGTAGCTCCTGTCTTGTCTAACAGAAGCCTCTGTTGGAGCAGCAGTTCTCCAGCATGTCAATTCCATACTGCCTTATTATCTGTCCTTCCCAAAGCAGTGCCGGATACTTCTCAAGGTAAGGTGGCATGCTGTGGTTTCATGGTAGTCTGATCAAGGCTCTCTTTTTCTTCCAGTCCTTTCAGGGCTTGTGCTTCTCTTCTGGGCTTTCTGGGTGCTGTGAATCTCTTTCATGGTGAGATGATGGGCATGATGCTGTGTGTTACTGCTGCTAGTCCCCACACAAAGTGTGGGTGTTCTGGGGAAGCTGTCTGTTTCTTTGCTGCAGATGGAGAACGTGCTGCCTGGGTGCTGAGGCTGTGTTTAGTCTGTGATGGTATTACACTCTCAAGAGCTGGGGGTGGAATATTTTTGCAGAGAAACTTAGTCACAACTGCTAAGTGCTTAAGAGCAACAGAGGAGGTGTGGAAGAAAAGAAAGAGGGCAACAGGGTGACGTGTTGGTATGAAAAGCTGCAACACATCATTTAAATGAAGCTGGGAGTGCTCTGGTAAAGTACGGTCCACCTGGTATTGTTTGGTAACTGCTGTAGAGAGGATTTTGTTGAAAAGCTTTTCAGCCCTGCAGCTGGACTGTTTCTGATTTCCTGAAGAATTTATTAGTAGAGGAAGTTGTTGCAAGCTTGCATCGTGATTATGGTGCTGCTGCACCAGATGCTTTCTGACAGAGGCATACATGTCCAGCTGAATCTGCAGGCTGAGCAGGTGAGGACAGGCAGGACTGGGAAAACTTGAATCTGTTCACTTCCTCTTCAAGATGTTAAGGAGAGATACATGCATAAGGCAACCAGACATCAGTCAGAGCAGTGTTTGAGGTCATGTGGGATGTCTGTTAGCCTAGAGCTCTGCAGAGGCTGTCCTCCCTGAAGCTGGTCCAGTTAGTGCTGTGATGCACTGGGTGCTCATCAGGTTTGTGCCACAGTGTATGTCAATAAAGCGACATCCATTTCTCAGAGGTGTTGATTTGTGAAGTTGTATTGATTGGGGATGTATTAATGTAACATTTTGCATGCTGTTGTAGCTAGAGCTTGAGGACAGAGTAGCTGTTGTGACAGATTCTGTAACTTATGGCCTGCCATCTTTGTAATCTTCCTCTTTCCCTTGCTTTGATGTGAAGGCAGGGGCCCAGACCTTTCTGTTAGCAGGAGGGGCTCTGTGTCCCTTCACTTACCTGAATCTTTTCTATTCCAGCAAGCAATCCATTTGTGGAGCACGGGTGAAGAAACAGTGAGAGTGCTGTCCTTCCTTGTGCTGAACAAGATCTGCCGCCACAGGAAAGAGGTGTACCTGAGTCACTTGCTCAAGGTAAGCTTGGCATTTCTTTTACTCTGCAGCTTTCCTGAAGTCAGATGCAAAAACCTTAAGGCAGCAGCTTCATTGTGTGAAGTACAACAGGTATTGGCACCCCCAGAAAATGAACTGGGTGAAAATGCTAGGTTGAGGTGTGGTCTCTTGTTTGTTACTACTGCCATTCTTGCTGAAGGCATGTAGGCAGAGTTCTAGCAGGCAATGCAGTTTGTCTACAGGATAAATACTACTCCAAAACCTTGAGGGCTTTCTTCAAGCAGCTGTTTGGTGCTGCTGAGCTGCTCTCATCTTTCAGCTAATAGCTGAGGATCCCAAGTGTAGTTTGCTTCGTTACTGTTCTTGCAAAGAGAGCCTTGTTAACCACTGTGACCAGCTGCAAGCATGTATGGCTCAAAGACATCCCAACAGTTCTGTCCTCAATTTGTTTGGAGGAGCAGTGGCAATGTTCAAGCTCTGTGCTAAACAATGTAGAGGTGGGAAGGTTCTCTTTCCTGGCTCTGCTGAGGAAGGAGCATGCTAAAACTACCTTTGCTTATTCTTCTGAAGTGGCTCTTCTTACAGAAGGAATCCTGTTAGGAAACACCAGGGGGTGGGGAAGGTTTTGTTCTGCCTTCAACGTGGTTTGTATCTCATTCTCTTTCCCCGACAGCAAATGTACATTGCATTTGTGAAGAATTCAAGGTTTACCTCTCCCAGTGTGCTGCCCATGATCAACTTCATGCAGCGCACGCTGGCAGAGATGTATGCCCTGGACACACACACCTCCTACCAGCATGCCTTCATCTACATCCGCCAGCTTGCCATTCATCTGCGCAGTGCAATGACCATAAAGAAGAAGGTGGGTGTTTGCCAGTGTGGAAGGAGTCCCCCCCTGTGGGGCACGTGTGGAGGGAGGAAAATGACTGCAGCTGCTTGAGGCTTTTGGTGTCTCCTAATTCTCAGTACTTATCTGATCCATTTCATAATGTGCCAGGGAATAATTTTGCCAGAGGCTGGGTGCTTCACAGCTGTCTGTGAATTCTTTTCTGTGTTAGTTTTAGAGCTTCAGTAATGAAGGAGAGAACAGACTGCTGCAGAGTGGAAGTCACTTCCCTCTCTGCAGCTTGCCAAGAGTTTGACAAGCTTCCCCTTTTCTCTGTTGGATGTGCTGCTTTTTCTTTGTGAAACTACAGTTTTGCTGTTGCAAAATCCCAGAGTACTGGGGACCAGGACTGACCCTGACGTGTTCATCTTTCCAGTGCTGTGCCCAAAGGTGCATCTGCCCCACTTGTCTGCAGCTGGTATTGCCAATCTGTACTACTTATAGGGCATCACTGAACAAAGCAGCTCAGACCTCTTGGGAACAGTCCTGATTTGGGCCACTCCAGTCTGACCTAGCAAATTTGAGTCAGATTGCTAATCATGGCTTTATTCTTGTTTAGCAAAACAGATCCCTGTAGATTAATGGCTGAGCTGCTCCCAAACATTGCAGGACTGGTAACCAGTTAAATCTCCTGGCTGTTCAGACATGGGGATAAATGAAGTCTGGGCTATATATTCTCTAATTGGATTGTGTTGGCTTCTTACACACTCAGTCTTGGCCCAGACAAGACTTAAATCCACTTGTTTTCACAGCTGGGGTGGGTTGTGGGAACTTTATGTGACATCAGCACAGCCAAAATGTACAAATCTCAGCAGTAAGCCAATTAATTTAAATTGAGTAGTGGGTGGTTATGGAAGGTGATTACGAGAGCAGGTTGTGCTGTACAAGAGAAGCTGAGAACAGGCCTTGGTACGTCATAGTGAGCTGGGAGAGCTGTCATTTCCAGCTGCAGCCCAATCCCTGCCACAAGGTTTGGGCCAGTAGTTGCCATTAAGTATTTCTGCTCTTTCTCCAGTTCTTGCACACCTTGTTTCCATCACGTGAAAGAGTGACCTGGGCTTTGGAAGTCTGTATGAAGGATGGGTTGGAGCTGAGGCTCCCTCGAAAGCATAATCTCTTCAGAAATGTAATGCTTTGGATTGTGGGAAGTGCATGACTCCTTGGAAAGAGTGTCCTTAAGGGGCTTGTTTAGTCTGACCCTAGAGAAGTTGCTTAAGCTCAAGGCAGGTGTGGGTAGGGACTCACCCAGAGGTTCTTTAAAAACTCTTGGATTTGAGCTGCTCAGCCAGCCTGAAGCTGCTGGTTGTGTGCCAGACACAGCACTGAATTTGCTGGGTGATGCATGAGCCACAGCTGGAGCTTTGGGTCTCTTTGGGCAAATTCTCTGTCCTCTTGGAGAATGCTGAGTAAAGGGCCTTGCAGAGAAACCAGAGCGATCTCTCAGGTCTTGATGTTGATTCCTTTTCTCCAGGAGAACTTCCAGTCTGTCTATAACTGGCAATATGTGCACTGCCTGTATTTCTGGTGTCGAGTTCTCAGCACAATTTATCCCAGCGAGGTCATGGAGCCATTGATCTATCCTCTGACACAAGTCATCATAGGCTGTATCAAGTAAGTCGTTTTTTCTCTCTGCTGGCAGTGCTGCTCTCATCTGATACAGCAGAGCACTGTCTGAGGGGTGTTACTGCTGTGTGATTTGGAGTTAAGGTTGCTTTGTGAGGAACTGTGAGCTGCTTTTGATGGAAGCATTGTGAGCACGTGCCACAGAGGAATTAGAAGACTTCTGAAGGGGAATTCAGCACCTCTGTTTTCCTAGCTAAGATCATGGGCTCAGGCATGTAAAACCAGGTACTGTGCACAAAGGACTGGGCACAACTCCCAGTTGTACAGGGAGAAAATGTGCTTAACTGTCTTGCAGCAGAGAGTGCTAAACACAGAATCGAGCCTTCAGCTCTGTGAAGAACTGGATTTCTGTGTGCATTTGTTGCTATCTGAAGTTCTAGGGGCATGCTTACTGTTTTTAGTATGCCTCTGCTGAGAGGCTGGATTTTTTTCCTAGTGGTTTGTGTGCTTAGATAGAAGCTGCTGTTAATGGGCATTGAGGGAATTTCTGAATCTCTGGTGATCTCTGAAATCCTGTTAGCTCTGTAACCAGATTCTCAGCTTTAAAGCACCACCCGCCTGGTCTTGAAAAACTCCCAAGTGGTGATGAAGATAAGCAGATTTAAACGATCGTTAGAGCATGCATGCATCCTTACCCCATCCCCCATGTGCACAGGCTGCTTCTCACTGCTGCTGCAGAGCTTTAGCTGTCCTGCAGACAATTCAAGGCAGTTTTTTGCCTGTCTGAGTGGATAAATCAGCTAGCTGGGGCCAAGGAAAGGTGAATGGGGTGAGCCTCAGCAAGAGCAGCAAATAATAAATAATGCTCCTGTCTGATGTACAGGGCTGGTTGGCATGGCATACAGTTACCATCTGACAATGCTTCAAAGGTTTGGATGGATTTTGCAGTGGGGAAAATAGAAATGGATCCCAGGTTAACAAAGCCAGTGTCTGGGATGTACAGAGTAGATATGTTAGCGTGTATGGGATGTACAGATAAGTGTGGATGGGAATGGTACGGCAGTGTGGGCTCCTGCCTGAGTCTGTGCCCAGGAGCAGACTGCCTGTTCTTAGTTCTTGCTTAATTTCAGGCATTTCTGGAAGGTTCAGATAGGGGAATGGGGCTGCATGGTGTTGTGCTGAGCAGGCTGCTTTGCACAGACAGTATGAGCTGCCCCTCTGTCACCCTGCTGCTCAGCTGTGCCATGGATGGGAGGGAGGGAAGCTGGGCATGCAGCCTCCCCTGCACAACCTCTCAGTTGCCCTGCTGGCGTAGCCTTCTTGGGAGCACCAGGAGGGTGATGGGTAGCACTTAGAGGTGGAGATGCTCCTTCCCCAAGTGCCTGTAGGCCGGGAGGTGGCGCCTGGCTCCACTGAAAAGCAGCAAGTGGGGATGTCTGTCTGCAGGGCTGCATTGGCTCCTCTTGCTGCCCCTGGGGCTCAGGTGGGGAAAGCACCGCTCCTCACAGGCTTTGTGCTCTAGGCAGGGACCAAAGCAGAATTAGAAACGTGATGGAAGCAAGATAATGAGGAGCAGGGAGTTGCTGCTAAAATGAAAATAAAATGCTTTCAAACTATTTTTAAGAATACATTTCAGAAGAACGTGTTGAAGAGGCATGTGAGCAAGATGCTGATTCAGAGAGGAGTGCTGAATGGGGAAATGCTGGAGTTTGATGGCTTTTGCCTTAGTGATGCTGAACAATGCTGCTTTGCTGCAGAAGCTCCTGTTTTTTTTTCTTTTTCCCCCCCATTCTGGAAAGGTTTTTTTCTATCTTGTTCCTGTCCCTAGCAGACAAGGTAGAAAGCCATGCTATAAACATGGTGCCCCTTCGTGGCTTACAGCTAAACAAATATTTGTGGTGCACTGAAGTTTTGCTTTCCATCCTGCTGATGTGCTTAGAGGAGAGAAGGCTTGGAACCCCTGGGGTGACCCCTGGTCAGCTCTTCTTTGCAGAGCCAAAGCTATGCTTTGTATTCCCTGTGCATCCAGCCAGCAGGAAGTTAAGCAGATTGGTGCATCGCAGAGCACTCTAAAATTAATGGTCTTGGTTTACAGTAAATCTATACATTTAACAGGTTTATCCCTCGATCAATTAATTCCTGAGAATGGCTTTCGTCATCTCCACTGGTGCCAGATCAGGGGTGCAAAGTAGATTTATTTCTCTAATGGATCCAATGATAATTATTTCACTATAGTGGGGTTAGGGGGAGAAGGATGGAGGTGATTTATGGTTTCTGGTCAAATGGTGGTGTTTTTTTCCTGCTCCTGGGTTGCTCAGCAAGCTCTTCTTGGGTGGGGGGTGATGCACTGATCTATCAGATGTAAGGCTGTTGTTTGTTTTCCTTAGTATAATTCCCAGACTTGTTAATGTAATGGTATCCGTGTCTTCCAGGCTGAGGCAGTGCATAGTGAGAGCTTTCTGGAGTGGTAGGTTTGTGTCTGATGGGCACTGCATTGTCCTCTGCTGGCTTACATGGCATGGGGCAGCTCCTTCCCCATCAGAACCTGGCAACCTGGTGCTTGGGTTGCAGAAACTTGTTAGTATTACAGCTCCAGCACGTGTGAATTTCATTTCCCATTGTGGGATGGCTTCCACAGCTTGATTTGCTGTGTGATATTAAAGCTGTCCTCCTTTTCTAGTGTAGAAAGTGCTCCAGAACGTTGCTGAAGGCTGCAGATGCAGCTCCTGTATTAACATGACCTGATATCCTTTCCTCTTTCTGCTCTCTAGGCTGGTGCCCACAGCTCGTTTCTACCCTCTGCGCATGCACTGCATCCGTGCCCTCACCCTGCTGTCAGAGAACACCAGGACCTTCATCCCAGTGTTGCCATTCATCCTGGAGGTTAGTTGGCTCCTGCTGATCTAGCAGAGGCTGATGCCTGTTGTCTCATGCAGTAACACCCCTGAGCTGTGCTGTTACTCAATCCTGTTGATGTATCTTAGGAAGAGTTTCTCATATCCACTTACAAAAGGAGAAAGAAAGGGAAAAACTCCTCCTAAGAATGAAGAATTTATTTAGGAAAAGTATCCCATAAAGGCAGCCTGGCAAAACAACATGTTCAGTTGAATTCTTGGGGCTGTGTTTCTCTTAGGATGATGCCCCACGTATCAGACTGCTGACATCTCTCCACACAGATCTTGCTGTGGGGGCACAGAAGTAGTGCAGCCACGTTTCTTTGAAGAGGGGCCTTTGTGTGAGGGAACAGAGCAAGGTGAGGAACACAAAGCACCAGCAGGTCAGCATAAGGCAGGGCGTTCAACAAGAGTGAGGGAGGCTTCTATAATAAATGACCTGAGTCAGCCAGGCTCATTCCTAATCAAGTTCTGTTGAAGCAGAGGCTCTTGTGGTTTGGTGTTGTTGTAAACGTCCTTCACAAACCACATCCTCTGAGCCTGCGGGAGCCGGTGGTGTTTATAAATCTCCTCCTATCCCCCCTCCACTCTGCCCTGGCCCTGGCCTGTGTGGCTTTGCCATTCGCCTGCTTCCTTCCTCTTGTTCACACACATTTGAAATTCTGCCAGCCAGATTTAGTGATAGAGGCATCTCTGCTCCGTGGTGGTGGAGCCTGGGGGGGAGGATGATTCCTCTGCTGCTTATTTTTTTCTAAAGCTCTGAGAGATGCTATTTTCCCCTTGAGGTTGCCTCCCCCCTCCTTGTTGTGTTCTGGCCCCAACACCTTGGCTGTAATCTGTGTCAGGCTCCAGCCAGATGTTACCACACTCAGTGCTGAGCTTCCTCCCTGCTTCCACGAGCCCCTGACCACATCCTACCCTGCTGTGTGAGGCATTGCTTAGCCCAGCTTGTCCAGACCTTGGTGACATGGGAGCAGGGGAAATGTCTGCATGCGTGTTGGGTGTGTTGCTCACATACTTTTGCATTCCTTTAACTTCAACATGGAGTGTTAACCTCAAACCTCCCAGCAGCTGCCAGCCTTTCCCTTCTTCCTGCCCATCTCCTGCAAGGGATCCCTCAAACACCCTGAGGAATTCCTAGTAGCTGTTCCCTTTGCCCTTCTGTTTCTTCCCAACTCCTCTAGCAGAGGTCCCTGAATGCTCTTGCAAATCCTACTTTAGGAGCTGTACTGCAGCTGTGCAGGTGAGATGGCAGGAGCAGCAGCACACAGAGGAGAATTGAAGTGCCTGAAGTCCAAGGTGTCTGGCACTGCTGAGAGGAGAAACCATGTGCTGATCCCAACTTAGTGCTTTACAATGAGCCTTTTCATACTAGAAAATCTACCCTCTTTGTAGAAGAAACTTCTTCCTTATGTCCAATTGAAATCTTGTCTTAGTTTGAAAGTTTCCCCTTGTCCTGCCTCAGCAGACCCTGCTAAAGGGTCTATCCCTTCTTATAGCCCCCTTTTAGCCATGGAGAGGCCCCTCTCAGCTCTCCCTACAGCCTTCCCTTCTCCAGGCTGCACAGCTCTCAGCCTGCCCTCACTGGGATCATTTTCGTGGCCCTTCTCTGGATGCACTCCTGCAGGTCCATGTCTCCTGTACTGAGAACTCTACATCTGGACACAGTACTCCAGGTGACGTCTCACCAGTGTAGCAGAGGTACAGGATCACCTCCCTCACCCTGCTGGCCATGCTGCTTTTGATGCAGCCTGGAATGTGGTTGGCATTCTGGGCAATGAGGGCACATTGCTGGCTTATGTCCAGCTGCCAATACCCCCAAGTCATTTGCAGCAGGGCTGTGCTCTATCCTTACATCCCCAGCTGATATTCATAGCAGGAATTGCTGTGGCCCATGTGCAGACCTTACACTTGGATTTGTTGAAGCTGATCTTTGCTTTCAATGGGAGGGGCATAGCTTCCCCAGTTCCCACCTTCCAAATCTTCTGTTCCAGGGCTGGGCTGTGTGTTAAGTAGTCACTAGTGAAGACTGGGGGGAGGAGTTATTCAATAACTTTAAATTGGCATGCCAAGCCTGCCTATGGGGAGATTTCCACCTTGTTTATCCACGCCTGCCTTCCAGCAGATGAGCCACCAGTTCTCCTTCCAGTCAGCCTTCTCCTTGTCTGTTGTTCCAGCTGCTTGTTTTGCTCACTAAGGAGGGAGTATGCCCTCCAAGACTTCTTTTTCCAGTTGATGTACCAGTGGAAGCCTTTCTTGCTCTTCTTCGTACCCCCTGCCAAGTTTAATTTCAGTTGAGCCTTGGTCTTCCTGACCCCAACTCTGTTCAGCCCAGCAGCATCCCCATACTCCTCCCAGGTTACCTGGCCCTGCTTCCAATGCCTGTGCATTTTCCTCTCACTCTCCAGGTTGAAACAAGGAATCGTGGAGACATCGTGATCTCATCATGAGACATAGGAATCTAATCAGTGCTGGTATTTTAAGCAGGAACAGACTTGAGGGGCATGGCTGGGGTCAGGGAGCAGATCGAAGCCTTCCCATGCTCCATTTGATGTGAAAGGCAGCAGACTGCCTGGTCTGTTGCTGCAGCTGAATCCAAATGTGGTCAAGGAATGGCTCTGGACTTTGTGGCCCTGTTTTGTCTGCATCTGGAGCCACTTGTTTTTTTTTTTGAGAAGGCTTTGTATAGCCTTAAAGTGGATTCTGAAAAGCTCTCTGTAAAGAGGAACTGTGCAACTGTTTCCCTTCCCCCTCACCATCAAGGAAAAGCAGCCCTTGCCTCTTGTCTCAGCCCTGTCGCTGCTGTGCTGTCAGGAGGCAGCAGATGGAATGTTTGTGCAATTCCCATAGGCACAGGAATTCCCCAAGCCCCTGCCAATAGAAATAAGAACTGTCTGCTTGATGCATCGTGACAAGGGCTGATGGCTCCCCAGCACGGACATCCAGCGCTGTGTCCTCTTTGGCTCTACTTTTCAGGATGGAGTAAAAGAAATTGCTGAAATTGCCTCTTAGGCAAGAGGAGATGGCTCAAGAGAGTGTAAAGCAGGCAGGCTTTTATTTTTGTGGTGTTCCTCCCCTCGAAGGGCCTGTGAGATCCCTGGCTTTTAATATTTTCTTCAGCACTTCAATTATTTTGTGACAGGCGTTCGTTTCTGCAGCAGGAGAACTGGTGGCTCATCTGCTGGAAGGCAGGTGTGGATAAACAAGGTGGAAATCTCCCCATAGGCAGGCTTGACATGCCAATTTAAAATTAGCTTCCCTGTGGAGGGATTGGGAAAGAGGTTAACCCTGAGAAGCTTAGGAAGGTGAGAGTTTTTCACTTTGACACTTAAATGGCTTGAGTTCTGTTTTGGATGTGCTGCTTGCTTTGGAGAAGGGGCTTGAAGTCCAACATGTGGGTGGTGGATAGAGGATGCAAAGATTGTGGTTGGAGCTTAGTGCTGGACAATGTTAAACACTTAAACACTGTTTTTGTGCAAGATCTGGACTCTGCATCCTTTACACAGAGGAGAAATGAGATCTTTAGACTCGCCAGGCTGAACTGCTGCACCCACTGCATATACATTCTCATTCCTCATTTGCATCATCCTCCTCCCTGCACCACTGCACTGCAGCTTTTAAGTTGTGGATCACAACTCGTGTGTCAGAAGTTGTTAGAGTGAAATGGTATCTGCCCAATCTAATGGACTCAAATAATGAGGCAGTTGGCTTGGTGGAGAGCAAGGTGGTTTATTTTCACTTTATCAAATCAAGGTATTGGATACCATCTCTCATAGCTTCCTCCCAGACAAGCTGGTGAATCGTGGACCAGATAAGTGAATGAGGGATACTGAAAGCAGTCTCTATATTTGGAGATACTCAGAAGCTGCCTGGAGCTGGTTCTTGGAGGCCCTACTTTGGAGCAGATGACCTGCAGGGGACATTTCTCATCTCAACCTTTGTGTGACTGAAGAAGTGAAGGCTTTTCTCAATGGCACCTAGTGACAGGATGGGATGCAATATGTGCAAAATGCAAAACAGGGAATTAATATGTGCATCTGAAAAAAAAGAAAAGGCAGCTCGTTTGAGCTGGAGCAGCTTAGCTGGGTGCCTTAGGTATGGAGGGGAGGGTGGTAGAGCAGCTGGAGGGGAGCTGCAGGCAGGTCCTGCTGTGCTCAGCATCCCTGCCTGGGGCTGATCAAAGCCCTGCCAGGGGGCTTCTGCTACAGCCTGAGAGAAAGAAACGAGGATGGGGTAATAAAGTGGATGTGCTGTGGGTGCAGCCTTGGTCCTCTGGTTTTCTGTCAGCTCAGGCTGTATTTCTGCACGCACTGCCTCTCTAGAAACTGATCATGAGATTGCCCTAAATCCATCTCCTTCCTACCCATGTTGCCCTGTCCGTTCCTCTGTCTGCTGCTGCTCATCACATGGGTCAGATCATTGGTTTCTGCCATCTTCTGGCCCTCTCATCCATCATTATCCCCTTTCTACCATGCCACAGGATCCTTAGACATCAGTTATCCTTCCATTCTGGTCCCTAGCTGAGCTGTTCTATACAATCTTAAGCTGGGAACCATGTTTTCCCCCCTCCCTTCCTATGTTTCCTGAGAGACTCCCTGGTGCCTCTGTTGCATTCCCCTGCTTGCATCGTGGCATGTAGGCAGCTCACAGGCTTGGTGCCTTTTGCTTTAATGCATCTGACCTTAGGGATCAATACTATTGTTTTGGCCAAAGAAATAACCGTGCATAACGAGGTTTATAGCATCGATTCTCTAGGCTAGGGCTCTTTGTTTTCACAAGCCACCAAGCTTGTCCCTCCCTTCCAAATAACCTGGATTGACAAATAAAATATATATTAAAAAAAATCAATAGTTGCCTCCATGCTTTTCTGGCCTGGGGGCATCAGTGTGACCTGACCACCCTCCTTTCCTTCCCACCTTGCCCTTCAGCAGTCTGTGTGCTGTATTGCCACGTTCCTGGCTGGTTGGGGTCTGATGATGGATGCCTTGCTGCTGCATTGGGAGAATAGAAATTATTTCCCCCCCCCCCCAGAGTGAGATTTAAGTTTGTTGAGGATTCTAGAGCCTGAGTGCCTTGGAGGCAGGGATGTGAGGCTGTGCATAGGTGCTCAAAAACGCAGGTGGGCAGAACGTGTGCTGTGTCAGCCCCCCTCATAGGCTGTCATCTGGTGTGCAGATGTTTGCCAGTTGTTGACTGGCTTTTCAAAATGAGAATCCATTACTAATGAGCCTCCCTCGGTTGCCCCTTCCAATCCCCTCATGGGGGCCTTTGAGAACATGCCCTAATCAACTGGCTTTTGTAGTTCTTAGCATCTTTCTCCTGAGGTCTGCCCCTGCCAGGCTGGGAAAGGGCACATTTGAACTGAAACCTTTTGGTCCTTCTTGTGTCACGGGGCTTCGAGCAGCACAGCACACAGGCTCCCAAACTGTCCCTTGCTGGGATGTGTAAAGAAGGCCAGTACTCAGAAGAGGCTACCAGCATTTCTGTTCACCTTCTCAGCTCTGCTGTTGACTGCATGATCTCAGCAGGACTGTGGTGTGTTTTGGGACGTAATCATCTTTAGTCTCCTTTTCTTCTGTTGTAGATTTTCCAACAAGTGGACTTCAACAAGAGGCCGGGACGTATGAGTGCTAAACCTATAAACTTTGCAGTGATCTTGAAGCTTTCAAATGCCAACCTGCAGGAGAAAGCCTTCCGAGTAAGTGGAACCTCAGCTGCTCGCAGTGCCCACCCTTAGAAACACGATCAAAAGTTGCCCCTGGCAGTGTGTTTTGTGATCACATCCCATAGGTTAGAGACTCATTTCCCAGGCTGGTTCCTATCTGATATCTATTTCTGCATTCCCTACCCAGGATGGACTCATTGACCAGCTCTATGACCTGATTCTTGAGTATCTTCATTGTCAAGCCCACAGCATTGGATTCCCAGAGCTGGTCCTCCCTACTGTCATTCAGGTAAGGTGTAAGGTATCTCTTGGTCACAGCAGGACTGTGAACAGAGTGGGACAAAGTCTTTTAACCTGACAACAAACTAAGTGTGAGCAGAGAGCTGCTCACCTCTTCCTAACCATTAACCTGACAACAAACTAAGTGTGAGCAGAGAGCTGCTCACCTCTTCCTAACCATCGTTTTTGGGGAACTCTGGGGAGAATGAAGGCATCGCATGTAAAACAAGGCTGAAGGTGGGTGAAAAGGGCTTTAGAATGAATCACTCTTCTGGAACACGAAGAGGGGTGAGGTGCTACGTGATCCCTGTGGTGATGCATTTCTGACTGGTGAATGCAGTTCTTAATTGGTTCAGAATTGCTGTGTTACCTCACCGTAGTACCTGTGCTCTCAGAGCTCATACTGCCTGCCTATGACCTCCACCATGTGCTCTCCACAAGACAACGATCCCCAAATCCCAAATTCATCCTTGCAAAAAGCCACAGTTCCCATTTCTGTCCCTCTTCCTCGCAGCACTGCTGCAAAGTTCTCTCCTTTCCTTCTGCCACAGCTGCTCTTCCTCACCACTGACGTTTACATAATTCATTGCCTGTAATAAAACTGCCTCATAGGGCTGTGCGTCTGGGTGTATTGTGCATAATCCTCCCCTAACACCTTGCTAGCTGGGTGGCTTTGGTTTAGAATGAGCTGCGACCTCTGCTTTGAGCAGCAAGATTGCTCAGTGCAAACATGTTGGAACTTGGAACTCGTCCCCTCCTTTCCTCTCCTTCCTCTCTATTTTTAACTCCTGAGTGGCAGGTGTCATGCTGGCTTGGCAGGGGGCTCTGTGGGGACACACACCTCTCCTCGATGCCACGAGCCAGCGTGTCTGCACACGTTGTCAGTGCCTCCGGCTGACGTGGGAGCAGCATCTCAGCTGAGTCCCCGTGCTACAGATCCCCTTGTTTCTGCTCTGTGCAGCAGGCTGGCAGCTGCCAGGCACATGCCTTTGGCTGGGTCCCGCCTGGCACGGGCACTGCCTGGCTGGCAGCCTGCTGCTGCGGTTAATGGGAGCTGACAGGAGCTCTCTGGGCTCCAGGAGCAGCTCCTCCACTCGCTTATCAGCAGTGAACAAAGCCCTCTCCTCTCAGTCAGCAGCTGCTGGGGGCAGCAGGGCTGTCGGAGCCGGAATGAGGAGCGGCTGACAGCCCTCTGGCACTCAGAGCCCCGTGGCTTCCAAATGCGCCCTGAGACCAGGCTGTGTTTCTGCAGAGAATTAATGCTATTGGATTCCTATTTGGCTGCCTCTAACCACAGCCTCGTGGCGTCTGCTGGGCCAGGGTGCTGAGGTTAGCTTCCCAAAATCTTGGAGAGCCTTCGGGAAAATGTGTGGGGGGAAGGCTTTTCCCCTGGAACGGTTCCAGTTAACTATAAAAATCCATCTGTCCCATCCTTCCCCCTGCAATGAGCTCACGCTGCTCAGCGCCGTGCTGCAGGGGCTGGCTTCCAGCTGGCCACGGCTGCAGCAGCTCTGGGAGAAGCGGGGCTGAGCTGCCTTCAGCCTGAACTTGGGAAGCCTGCAAGGCAGGAAGCAGCGGGCAGATCAAAGGGGAGTAGAGGCAGTGAGGAGGGAGGCAGCTCAAAGGCTGCTGTTTTCTAGCCAGCCAGCCAGCTGGGCTGACTCCTGGGCAGTCATTGCTTCCATAGGCTGGCTCCCTTCCGTAGGGTCCTATGTGGGCTAGGCAGGATTTGCAGAAGGGGAGGAGGTCCTGGTCACTACCAGCCTCATGCTCACCCTCTGCTCCCCAGTGAATGCTCCCTCTGCTCTGAGTGGGGGGTCAGGGTGGTTTTGGGTTCCCTGGCGCACACAGGCCCAGCTGCTTCAGATCACTCGTAGCTCCCTGTGTTTGCTGTAAGAGGAGCTGAAGTTTTGCCATGGTTTCTGCTGGTCTAAGGCATCGGTGTTTAAGGCTGGCAGTTGAACAGAATCAATCCCACTGATCACAGCGAGGAACCGACCGGGGATGTTAACGGCATAGACACATACAGGCACACACATATGTTCTAATTGCTTTTATTCTGGAAAGCAGTGGTCGCTGTGTTTGGCAGAGGGGAAGAAAAGGCATTCGGAGGGTCCCTTTTTTTCCATCTTCTTTTGCCCTCTTGGTTGCTCCCTGCCTCTTCACACAGAGCTGAGATCTCATTACCTCCCGTTAATATCCGTGGCAGATAGCAGTGGGGCTGTGAGGGATTGCCGGGGTCAGGGAGAGGAGGGGGAGAGGAGAAATGAAGCATACAGCTGTGAGAGTGAGCATAGACAGCACCAACCTGCCCAGATAGAGCCTGAGATTTTGCAGGATTTCAGGTGACACTTCTGCAGCGAAAGAAAAATGATAATGTATGTGGCAGCGGATGAAATGGATCTGGGGCTGCAGCTGCGGGGATCAAGTGAGATAAATGGAATGACAAATGCATCTCTCGGTGGAGATAAATATGCAGCGCCTCTAAAAAATAAATATTTTAGAAAGGGTGGGTGAGGAGAGGCCAGGCTTGACCAGCAGGAGCATTTTGCTGCTGGTTCCTTTGTACTTGCTTGATGGGCTCTTTGCTTTGTGGAAAGGGAGGAAGGTGTTCGTGTTAACTCCCATTTGTCTGAGCTGGATGAGCACTGACAGGTGGGGATAAAGGACGAGAGGAGCCCTGCTGCTCCGTGATGGAGAGCATCCTGCAGGATTCCACCCAGCAGAGCACGGTGCCCTGACAGAGGGGCACGTTTCATACCAACCCACTTGGCGTGTAGGCTTGGCAGGAGGGATGTGTACCTCTCCTTTGCCCATCTCTCTCTGTTCAGGCAGAGCTTTTGAAGCCATAATTAGAGGAGGCAGCACCGTGTTTGCTGGCTTAGAAACCCATTATCTCAATCCTGATAGCATCTGCAGGTCCTGGTGAGATGAAGGCCCTGTTGGGTCTCCTCTATGTCAAATGCCTCGTGTATGCATGGCTCTAGCAAGGAGCCTGCTCCTGCCCTCCATGTAGCTGTCTTGGGGCTGGTAAAAACTTCTAGCACACAGCATGCTGAGCTGGAATTCAAGCTATGGGTCAATCTGGAGACCCGCATCTCTCCTGGCATCGAGAGCATCCGCTGCAGCCTCACCGTTCAGCTTGGAGGTGTCAGGGCTGTGCATGGTGGTTTGTACTGGTGGGAAGAAGAGGGGCTTGCTTGGGGACGTGGCTACTGAGATAGACAATAACACAAAAACAGGCTCAGTGTGAGTGAAATAGTCTCACTGTGTGAGAGCAGCAGTGTGTTTCCTGCACACAGAGAGAGCAAGAGCTGACTTTCTGCAAGTGGGATGGTCTGGCTGGCAGCAGTAGGGTTTGTGGTTTCCTGGCAGACTGGCTCTTGTCCCAACCATCCCACCTAAGCCCTTGGGTCTGAAAAGAAAGGAGTATCTAGGCACAGCAATGTGGGTTGTCCACAACAGAGTCATTGTGTAAAGCTTTGTGTGGTGGCTGTGTGGGTTTGTGCCCTTGAAAAATAGGAGGTGCCAGTCAGAGCTGGGTCAGTAGTTCAGACACCAAGCCAACTTCACCCCACATGACCCTGCAGATGGCCATCTGGCATGACCTGCAGCTCTAGCAGCCCCACACTTCTCACTGAGCTGTGCTGAAGACCCATTCTGCAGAAATTTCCAGTATCCAGTATCTTCTCAATCTCTGCCTTCAATCCCAGCCTGCAGTCTCAAGCCACAGCCCTTGCTATTCCCTTCCCAATAGCTGTTGCCTTAACCCGCAGACACCTTCTCCCATCCTAGCTGTAGCTTCTCTGTGCTTTGGGCCACCTTGCATCCACTGTTGCTTCTTCTCTCTGTGCATTTGTCCCCTTATTTCTGCCTAAGCACAGACCTGATACTTTGCACTGCAACAGCATCTAGCAGCACCCCATGCTGCCACTGAGATGGGAGATGTCTTCTTGCTGAGGGACTCTGGAAACGATTAGATTGCTTTCATTCTTCCTCTCCTTTCCCTCTTCCCAGCTCAAATCTTTCCTGAAGGAATGCAAGATTGCCAACTACTGCAAACCCATCCGGCAGCTCCTGGAGAAACTGCAGGAAAATTCTGCCTACATCGCCAGCAGGCGTCAGAAAGCCACCTTCGGTGTGGCCAGCAGGGAGTCTGTGGTGAGTCTGCTGCTTCCATTTGGGCTTCCTGGAAAGACAGTCAGGCTCCAGCTGCTGGGGCCGAGGGGGTGGCAGGGGGGGAAGGGAGGAGGAGCAGATCATGGAATGGGAGCGTGGGGTCGGGCAGACGCTCGCAAACAACTGAGCTCGGCTGGGCTCTGATGCTGGAGCTGGCAAAGCTCTGCAACCAAGAGACTCATGGAAAATACAGCCCGTAAATTGCAGCCTTGTGTTGTTTGTAATACGCACGAGTGTGGAAGAGCCTTGCTTTGCTGGGGCAATACCCTTTGCTGGGAAGTTTCTTGCTTTTCGTTACCTGCTCCCAATACATAGGTGGCAGTTTTTACCTAAGGTGAAGGGGGGGATTCTGCCTCTCTGTAGGTTTCCTCCCAACCTGCAGAGAGCTGCCTCCAGCAGCACAGAACAGCTGACACGTGACAGTTCAGACTCTTGAGGCAAACCTTTCCTCGTGGAAACAGGATGATGGAGTCAGTAAAGTTGTGAGCTGTAAGAGCCACAATCAGGCAAACTGCTCTCGAGGGACACCGGTGCTGTCTTCTGTCTGCTGTCCCTCCTGCTGATAAGATGCTGATCACAATTGATGCCTAGAAAAGCTACACTGGCCCTGGGTGATGTGTGGGGTCCGTCAGTTGAACCTCAGAGTAATTCTGCCTTAGTGCTGAGGTGGAGGAGAGTGGCTGGGGTGATGCTACAGAACTCACCTTAGAAAATGAACCGTTGGCCATCTGACTAACGGGTCGAGAGATGCTGTCCTCCTGAATCAAAACTGGCATTGCTACGGGTGTTATCTGCTTTCCTCAGTCCTTTGGGGACCTGCTGTCATGCTCAGCTGAAATTGGGGCCCTGTGTCAATTAAGCCCTGTTAGTGAAGCTCTGTTTGCTTTGCATTTGTATTTATTCAGCACAGTGCCCTCTGCAAGCCTGGTAGCAGGTGAACTGTGCGTGTGTGTGCCTCTGTTAGAAAGTGGTGGCTCTGATTCTTCCTTGGCAAGCAGGAGAGAGGTGAAAATGTCTGCGTCTGGGAGGTTGTTGATGGGATCAGAGTGATGGCTCTTTGGCCATGTGGTATCACTGGATATCACTGCTAACAGGTGGAGATGGAGCAGAGCTGTGCTGCAGACTAATTCATCTTCGGACACGCAGGGGCAGTAACTGCAGGAAAATTATCCTTTGAAATCCTGCCATATCAATGCCTGGACACAGCAGTGTTGTTCTGGGATTAAGGGGCTGATAGAACTGGTTTGAAGAGATGAAATGGTCTCGGGTTCTGTAAAGGCATTTCTGGCTGGGGCTGCTTTGCCAGAGGAGTTATTTCCCGTCTGGAGCAAAGTGGTTAGGGTTTTGTTTTGTGTTTTTTTGCAGACAGACAGTGCTGTGACCACCCACCCACACTGCAGAGGTAGAGATTTCAGCCCCCAGGGCTCCCTGTGGAATGATGGGCTGGGGAAGATCGTGGCTTAGAAAAAAAAACAACCAAAGGTTTCCAACCACTCTACCACACAGTCTGCTTTTCCCAGCAGCTCTAGCTGCAGCCCCTGTTTTAAGAATGGATTAATTTAACATCTTGCTGCCTGCACAGCTCCTGGCTGATGCTGGTGCACCTGCTTGCCCAGGAGCATCGCAGCTTGGGTCTAGCAGGGCTGGTCCCAGTGGGGCAGCTGCAAGCAGCCTGCCTCTGGGAAAGGGGTTAGTGAGGGAAAGCAGGTGGTGGTTTGCCCAGCCTGGTGGGACACTGCCTTTTCTGCAGTTTAAGGGCTACAGCAGCAAAGCAGAGTGCTGCTTAGAGAGGATGCCTGGATTGCTAGTGCAAAATGTATTTCTGCATCGTGTCGTTGGCCTGTGAGAGGAGGAAGCCTTTCTTCTCTTTGGGTTCATGGGCTCTCAGTGCTCTCGGGAGCAAAGCAAACAGCCTGCTCAGTGCTTCTCTGGCGTGGAGGATCCTGGCTTATCTCTGTGCCTGGGGACGAGCTCTGTGGCTCATGGCCACGCACTTTCCCCCTGCTCCTTGGCAAATAGATGGTGTAGATTTCCAAGAAGGACCAAAACTCTCATAGAGACTGGGCTTCCCAGAACGGCTTGGACTGTCCCTCGTAATCTGAGCTGAGTTTGCCAGGCTGTCTCCAGTGTATGCAGGACACTGGCATTTCTGCAGGAGTAAACGCTGCCAGAAAAGGGAAGGGAGGAGGAAGCATGAGGAGGGAAAAGAGGGAGGCCAGAAGTATTTGCTTGTCCCCCTTGCCAGCAAGAGCGATTGAAAGCAAATGCTCTCCGCTGTTCCCATCCATGCATTTGTGCTGCTCCACTCCAAGGAGCAGAGCCCAGATTCTGAGCTGATTCTTGCAAGCAGCATCCTGAAATGTGACATGCAGAGAAAAAAAGTTGAAGCGAGCCTCATCTGTGTTTGTGGAGGGCAGTGATGTTATATTTGTACAGTCTTGGTCCCTGCTGGATGTCCCATAGCAGCACAGTGATGCAGAGGCAGACAAAGAAGGAGAATGGCAAATGGTTGAGGTTGGTCGGGTGGCATCCACTCTCCAGACTCCTGTTGAAGTGTGCAGACTAGAAAGATAGCAGTGTTTCAGTGGCTTTTCTCTTTTTTTTTTCTTTCAATCTCTGCATGCAGCACACTCTGAAACCAAAAGAGCTGTCTCAGACGGAACAAATAGACATCTGGCTTCCTTGAGAAGAGCCTTTCTCAGAAGCTGTCCATACCGAGCAGCATCAACAAATGGCCTGATTACAGCTGGCAGCCTGATAGCAGCCTGATCTATAAGTGGGGTGACTTTGTACTGCTCAGGAATCCCTCCCTGTGCAATCTGGAGCTGTGCTGTCTGCCTGCCGGCGTCTGCAGCGGAGCTGCTGGAGCCAGCGGTGCACCAGCCCTGCCTGGATGCTCTTTATGGACCTGTCTTAAGCCTCTCCCATTGCTCATCCCCTTTTTCTTCCACCTGTTAAATTCCTGCTTGCATATCACGTCTCTGTTGCTGCACGAGGTGGACTTTTTGCAGTGGGATAGAGCAAAACCTCTGGGCACTGTGGTAACCCATGTAACAGGTACAGCTCCACGTGGATTTGAAATTGTCAAAAAGCACGTGAACACTTGGATTTGGAATGCTGCCCCCAACCTCTTTCAGCACTAACATTCCTAACAATTAAAGCCTGAAAGAGTTTTTAACCATCTCGTTTGCTTCCCAGCATTTGTGGTGTTTGCACCTCCACATCCTCCCAGCTTGGACAGAGGAAACAAGTTCAGCATTTCTTCCTTCTCTGCTCTCCCATGGTTGGGATGGGTCCAAGTCCCTGCAAGGAAATGTCTGTTTCAAAAATAAACACTTGGCTGTAGAACAGTGGGAAGAGGCAATCAAACTTCTTTTGTACTTAGATCTTGTAAATGCTTGCATGAGGTTTTTCTGAATTAAAACCAAGAGCTGAGCAGGCGATCAAATGCTCCCATCGAGAGAGCAGGGGATGGATTTTGTCCTGATAGATTCTCTGAGCTGTGCCTTTGATTCTCTTTGGAGAGCTGTCAGTCACACCACTCCCGACTCAGTGGTGGCTGTTGTTGCTGCCTGAATTTCACACTCAGTCCTGCTTGCAGCCTTAGCCATGACTGCCAGCCTCCTACCCTGAGTGCAGTTTGGGGGACGCTCTTCAACTCTTAACTCCCTGCATTTGCCAAGGCTGTATCGCAGAGCTGCTTTAAAAGCTTCCCTAAATTATCACCCTCTCTGTCCACAGGAGCAATGGGAGAAGCAGGTCAGAGAGGAGGGGACACCTCTGACCAAGTACTACACCCAGTGGAAGAAGCTAAGAGAGAAGGAGATACAGCTGGAAATCACCGGCAAAGAAAGAGTAAGACCAAAACACCTTCCTTACTGCACATCACCTGTAACTATGGCAGGGAGAGAGCCATGTCCTGGCATCAGTGCCTGTGTGCCCTGCCTGTACCCTGCTGGCTTGCCCAAGTTAATAGAGCGTGGTTGAAGGAGTGCCAGGGTGAACTTGTCTCTGTCCCTGTTCAGGCTCGTGCTGCGTGACCATTGGAGAGGTGGGACCTGCTGTCTGCACAGAGGTGCCCAGCCTGCCATTTCTTTTACCTTCTGCCAAAGGGAAGGCTCTGTATCCACTCCTGCACAGTCTATGTGCAGGAGGTGGGGGTGGGAGCTGTGCTTACATTAGGAGTCTGAAGGAAAGCTGTCTCGATGCTAATGCAATGAAAGTGGCTGAGCTAGGCTGCTTGGCCAGGGAGCAGGAAATAGATGTAATTGGTGTCTCCAGCGTATGGTGGGGAACAATTAAAATAATCGATGGGACATGAGCATGACTGGCTTTGAGCCAGGTCCCAGAGTGCAGCAGAAGACGTGGGAGATCCTGGAAGCGCTCAGTGCTCTGTGCTGAGATAAGGGCAGGAGGCTGAGGTTCCCTGGGGTAACTGAAGGGCTGTTGCTTTGGCATAGCGTGGCTCAGGAGGATGACTTCAGAAACCAGGGGAAGTCTCAAGGGCAGTGATGGGGACTTGTTCCCTGCTGGAGAAAGTGGGCTGAAGGGATCAACTGCAGAGAGAGAGATTTGGGAGTTAGCTTTCAGATGGGCCTGTGGCTGCCTGACATCTTTGCTTGGTGAATGGGGCTGTTGTCTCTCTCGGTGGGGACTGCAAGCTTAATGATGCAGCATTGTGAGCCCCAGCAGGAGAGTGAACACCATGAGGCCCATTAGGGCTGGGAAAATCCATGTCCCATTAGCAGCCATTGGGGGGAAAAAATAATAACAGGAAAAAAAAATCAGCCTGGCTCTCAGCTGCCATGAGCTGCAGCTTGCCTTGTGTAACAGTGCTGACCCTGTCTGTCCATTTGCTTTTCCCAATGGTTTTTAATGGGATGCAGACTAATCAGCTTCGTGAGACTCAGCAGATAGTAACCTTCTATTTGGGAATTAAAAGACTGACCTCCAAATTACCTGATTACTGCTGCTGGGTGCTGAGCACAGGCTGTATCTGTGAGCTGGGGCTCAGCACAAGTCCTCATTCCCTTACTTTGGGATGGCTCCACAGCTGGGAGGGATTTCTGGGGCCTTTATTTTGAGGTGCCCAGCCTGAACAGTTGCAGCCCTGCTTGCAAACCTGTGTGATGTGTTGTAGGAATGCATGAGGGGTCACCGTGAGACCTTGGGTGATTTTTGCATTTCATTTGCTGCTGCTGCTGCAGAGAACTGTGACCAGGGCTGTGGAAAACAGGGCTCACAACAGGGACCTGGGCAGTTGTCAGCTTTTTCCCTTCTGTTGGCTGTTCCTTGTGCAGGGACTGAGACACTTCCAACCCCAGCTCTGTCCTGGGCAGTGCCAGGCTCCTGTCTCACTGCTGCAGGAGAGCAGTGGCAGCTGGCTATGGGGTGCCATCAGGGCAGGAGCTTGGTGCTTTGCTCCCCTCTCTGTCCACCTTCTGACTTCCCATCCTGGTGCTGCAGATGATTGCCTGTAAGTACTCAGCTCCCACAATCAATATTGCTCAGCTGGGGACCATAACCATGAAACAGGTCGGGAGAAATTGCTGGAATTGGCTGCAGGAACAAATGCACAGCTCCTTCCCCTTCCCAGAGGGCTGCCTTTGTGGATGGAGTGTGCCTGTCCCACTGGGGAAGCTCCTGGCAGGGCTGGGGAGGGCAGTGGGCAGAGAGGAGGGCTGATGGGTGGGAGAGCAAATGAGTTATTACTCGTAGGGCCAATGTTTCCAAGCAAGCTAATGTGTGCTAATGCATGAGTGCTTCCCAGGAGGTGTGCAGCCAGGCACAGGCAGCGGGCAGCTGATGTTCAGAGTGCACTTGGGATTTAATTTGCATTCTGATTATCTTCGCCCTGCTGGCCTGAGCCCTGGCAAGTAAATCCTCCCCCTAATCCCCCTCTGGAGAGGTGTAAAGAGCGGTGAGGTGGTGTCAATTGCAAGTACTTAATGGCATTGATATTGGCTGTGCCTGCAGCGGTGAGGCTTGGCCCACTGATCTCCATCGGGGCCAGCAACAGGGTGAGCCGTGGTGCAGACAGAGCCTTCAGCACCTTACCACTGAGCTGTGCTGAGTGTGAAGCCAAAAAAACAGTGCTGCTATGGCTGCCACAGCTTTTGGCATCAGTGGAATATGTCAGAGATGACCAGAACAGCCTGCATGACTTGCATTCCAGAGCTGTGGGACAGCCAGCTTGTCAGGGGTGTCCTGATGAAAAGCCAAGGTGCCAGCAGTGGGCTGCCCTTTAGCAAATGTAGTGTAGTGCATAAAGATCAGGGGGGCAGTGGTGCTCTGCATGTGTTGTTCACCTTGGCAATGGGCTCACAGATCTGTCTGCTGGTTGGCAGCAGGCAGACCAACTGCTCTCACAGGGCAGAGCCAAGTTCATGTGTCGTGCATTTTATGTTCAGAAGTACAAACTAAAGTTGTTCTCACTGTTGGTTTTGTTGTTTCTTCCAGCTTGAAGATTTGAACTTCCCAGAAATTAAACGCAAGAAGCTAGATGAAAGGAAGGAGGAAGATAAGAAGGAATTCAAGGACCTGTTTGAGCTGGACACAGACTCTGATGAGGAGAACGTTGGATTCCCCATAAAAGGTACAGCTCCAGGGCTGGGCTGGGCTCCTTGTCCAGCTCTGTAATGTGGGGCAGTGTAGCTGACCTGGGACAAGACGTGTTTGCTGTCTGTTGCACAGAGGGTGGAGATGCAGAAATCCATCTTCTGTTAGGGTAAGGATGTTGTTCTACCTGATGGCTCGCTTGGTCTCCACTCTGTAAGTCACTGCAAACAGTAACTGCTGTAGGGGCTGGCTACCAGAGCAATCATTGATGGGAGAATGGTCATCCTCTCCTTGTGTGCACTTCTGATGCCTTTATTGCTCAGTTCATGACGTTGAAGGTTTTCCTGAGGAAGTCTGAATGCTCCAGAGATGGAGTGGTGTCTCTCACTGGCTGTGACCACGAGGGGGCCACAGTAAATTGTGGAACCTGAAAAAGTTCACCTCGAGGCTTGAGAAAAACTTCTTTGTCACCAGGGAAAGTTTGGGCTATTGCACGTCTAACCAATGTGTTATCATGTATGTAGAAGGGAGGCTTGCAGGAATGTCATCCCTGCAAAAGAGATTTTCTTGTTTAGAGATTCGATCTGCAGATAGAGTCTTGTGTGTGGCACACATGAGGTGTGAGCATCAGTCATGAGATTAGCACAGAAGTAATGCATGTTGGCTCCCTCACAGGGTGCTGTGATACAGGAGGAAGAAGCAGTCAGAAAACTGACCTTGCTGAGGCTGAGGTTGGTGTGTTTTTGTAGGATGAGGTCCTGTGCAGCAGCACACAAAGCTGTGTTTGGAGTTCTTACTGGAAAGAGCCAGTTCTGGAGTCCTGGGGACCTGTAGATCTCTGCAGAGGAGTTACTGAGAGGTCTCACTGGCTTACCTTGTGGCCTGAGCTCTGCAATGTCAGCACCAGCACTGCTGATTAATTTGGGGGCTTTCTAAGTGAATGAAGATGGAGTTGTGCCAGTGAGCTCAGACCAAACTCCTTACCCTCTGAAGGGGACTTTCGTACAGGTTTGCCTGCTCAGGATCACAGCATTGCACTCCTAACCAGGCAGTGCTGCCTTGTTCTGGTTGCTTTATTTTGGTCTGCATCTGGCTGGAAGCTGCATGGGGATGAGTGAACAGCAACGGGAAAGGAAGGAGAGCAATGAGTTTTCAATCATTTCTTAATCTGGTGGATCTGAGGGGAGATTCCCCTTGCCCTCATCTTATGCTCTGTGCAGGTGGAGCTGAACGGACCCCCCCAGAGGGGCAGGAATGGTGCCCCTTTGGAGCAGAGAAAGCACTGGGCAGGCCAGAGTCGCTTGGTTGCCTCTCTGCAAGGCGTGAAGAGAAAGGAGTTTGCACCTTTTAGGAACCACCAAGCAGGCAAGGGTGGAAGGAGCCCTGCGGTGGGGAGGAAAGCGTGGATTTGATCAATGTGTGTCACCAAGGAGGTGGGGGAGCTCCTGCATTCCTCTCATTTCCCAGCTGACAGCTCTCCAGGGGGGGAGGCGGCCGCTCCTGGAGATTATTAATGGCTGGGAAAGAGGTGTGGGCAGCCTGGTGGTGCAGCAATTAAAGGCAGCGTGCAGTGAGCCAGCCCAGCCGTCTGCGTTAGGTGCCGGTGTGCTGCTAATGAACTCAAACGGCTTTCTTCATTTATTCCTCACGTAATCATATTGCATCAATTTAATGCCAGGCCGGTGGGGGCCGGGGGTGTGGAAAGAGAGCTTAGTTCTATTCTTGTTTCCTAGCAGAATAATCACGGCAGAATTCCTGCTGCACGCAGGGTCCAGGGAAGGAGATACGCAATCCTGAGGAGCAGGGAGCTCGAGCCTGACAGGTGTGCTCCTACCTACGGCTCAACTTCTGCCTGCAGAATGCACCAGGACCTGCGTGCATGATACAAAAGGAGGCGTGCTCCGAGCTCAGGGTGTGCAGGAGCAGCCCGGCTCCTCTCCCTGCCCACAGCTGCTCTCTCTGCGTGCTCCCAGCCGAGCTGTCGGCGCTGCCGCCGGCCCTGCCTGATGGATGAGCGCGCGCCGCTGCCGGAGCTCTCAGGTGCCCATCAATATGCTCGGCGCCGGCAGCAGCGCTGCCATCCATCTCCTCAGCTCTCTGCATGGCTGCCCGGGAGGCTCCTGCTGTGAGATGTGGCTGTGGCTGCCCCTGGGGCCGCGGCGCTGACGGATGGCGGCGAGCGGCGAGCTGGCAGCCAGCTTATGGATGGCTCTGTGGCCAGCCTGGCTGGATCGGCTGCTGGGAAGGGAGGATAAGGCAAAAAAAACACAACAGAAGAGATGCCAAAATGAGAAGGATGTGCACCAGTAGCAGAGAGACTGACTGATGCGTGGGTAAATGGCAATTTTGGATGCAGGCGAAGGGAGGTTGCAGCAGTGAGCTGGGCTTAGCTTGGGGCTGAAAGGAGGTGAGCAGAGGCTGTGGCTGTGCTCTTCCCTGTGCAGGATGCCTTTGCCATTTAGACACGTGGTGATTCAGTGCTCGGGGGCAGTCTGATCCAGAGGCTCTGAGGTGCTTCTCTGCCCAGGCCGTGCACCCAGAGGCTCTTGGTGCTGCTTTCCTGACTGCCTTGGACCTGGTTAGGAGGGGATTTGCAGTGACATCTGGTTCTGAACCTTTCTGTTGTGACTTTTGGAGGGAATGAAGCTCAGAGGGTTTATAAGGATGCCCTGAACCATGCAGCCCATGTCTGCAGTTGTGTATAGCAGCTGAGGGATGGAGGCTGTACACTATTGCTCCCAGGAACCAGCCCTTCTCTTGGCCCAGCTTCATGACTTGTGCTTTTGCTAAGTCTCTTCAGCAGCCCCATTTCTCCTCATTGCACTCTGCTGTCCATCTCCCTCTCCTAACACTCACAGCTCCCTGAGCAGGGCAGGAAGGTGTTTTCCTGGCCATCTCAAATGCCTATTTGTGGATGAATTCAAGCCAGAAGCTTTTGAAATGCTGTGCATCATTCTCTGGGCTGTAGTGTGAAGGCCTTTGGGCAGCACACCAGCAAGAGCAGTGCGGTGAGGTTCCCTCCAGCACGGGGAGGTGAACGTTGGGGTGTTGGTGATGTGCCCTTTGTGTGTGCTTCCTGCTCTTGTGCTCCTCTTTGTGTTTCCATTGACAAAGTACAAATACTTACAGGGAAAGGCAAAGGCAAGGAGGCATCAGACGACAGCTCAGAAGGCAGCAGCAAGGAGGACTATGGCGAGGATGATGAGGATGAAGAGGGAGAGTATGAAATCGAGGAGGACGAGGAAGATTTAGAGGAAGACAGTGACTCAGATGGTGAGTAGTGCACCTGGGCAAAGGGAAAAGGAATTATTGATGGCCGGAGGCTGGTCTGTATCCTGGGGTCTTTCCTACAAAGGAGCTGTCTTCTCTGTTCTTGCTCTGCTGCTGTTTTGAGCTGCAGGGTGTCAGGAGGGCTTCTCTCATACACACTGCGTGGACAGGGAGACCTGTCAGTTCTGTGCTCACACTGAGAGCTAAAGGGTTAAGGGCTTTGCAGCCCCTGCTCTAACAAGCCACCAGCCCCTTTCATCTCAGTGCAGGGGCCTCATGCAGCGAGGCTCAAACAAATGCTTGAAGTAGAGCCCACCCCAGCAGGCTTTGCTTGAAGGCTCCCCGTGGGTTACTTGTGCAGGGGAGTGTGGTGGGGGTACCTCACCTTTCCTTTGAGCAGTGCCAGGGGCACGAGGGGCTGCACAGGGATAACCTTTAGCAGTTGCTCCTCCCAGGATAGGTCAGCTAGGAGATGTTGGCCAAGCCATGCATTCATCTGTTTTTTTTTAACACTGTAGGTAAGCAGTGCAGGCTCTGCAAGAGGCAGCTTTGTTCCATGCTTGGTCCTGCTTGCTTCTCCCAGTGTGTAGTGTTGGTGTGGTGCTGGGCCAGCAGCTCTGTGCCATCCCTGCCTCCTGCACAGAGTTGCAGCCAGCTCAGAGCCTTCTCTGTGCCCAGCAGCACAGTAACCACGTTCAGCTGCCTGCCCCTGCCAACTCGCTGCGAGCTGAGCAGACGAGAGTGGGGGCTGCCAGGGCTCTGCTGCTCTGCTCTTTTCTGGATGGGTTTATCTTTACCATCACTTTGAGCCTGGGTGTCAGAGGACCAAGCCTCTGCTCCACTGCATGCCTTTGGGTGTCATGTGTGGTTGTGGGGAGCAGCCACGGAAGCTCTCCTGTGGTGCTGCCTTTCTTTACCAGTTTGGGGGGCAACGAGAGCAGGAAGGGGGAAAGAGTCCAAGTGAGAGCAGAACCTGATTTCATGTGGCAGATGGCTGTGGCTTGGCATGCACAGCCCACCCTCAGAGCCCAGAATAGATGGGTATTTGGTGCATGTTCTGACAACGTCAAAGGATGGAGAGAGAGCATTTTCCCTCTCTGTTCCTGGCATGTGCAGATGAGCTTAGTGTAATGGGAGCAGGAACTCTTGGTCCTCCCTTTTTTCACCCATGGTGGCTGCTTCTTTCCCTCTTGGCTGTGCTCTCACTGGCTGAACACCCATGGGTGGCAGCTCAGGGTGGATGGATGGGTCCTCCAGGCCTTCAGCTCCATGCTGAGCATCCCTGCCCTGCTTTTCCACAAAGCACACAGGTCTGGTGGTGTAGCAGGGAAGAGCTCCAGCAGGTCAGAGCCTGTGAGACCACAGGTAGGAACAGGCACAGCAGTGACTTCGCTCTCCTATCTCCCCCAATACTCCGAGCCAGCACTGTACATCACCCTGCAGTACTCTACTGCTATCTGGGAGCTGCAGCAACACTGATAAATTAATGAGTGTCTGGCATTAATTAGCGACGAGTTGCCTCCACCTGCCTCAGTACAGCAGGATTTACACCTCTCCCTCTTTCCACCCCCAGAGGAAGACAAGGCAGCCCCTCGGGGCTCACAGAGGAGCAGCCCCCAGGCGCTGTCACGTTCCGACCTCGAGCAGCTGGCCCATGGCGAGGAGGATGTGGTGGAAGATTTGGCTTTCTCCGATGATGACTGAGCCCTCCCCGACCCTGCAGCCCCCCTGGCTGGTTCTCCAGGAGGCGGTAAGCTCTTGGGGCAGGAGGTGCTGCCCCCCAGGACTGTTGCAGTGAGGCACGGCGCTGAAGCTGCTTGGACTTTTGCAGGTTGTTCGACCCCCATGTTTTTTTTGCTGATGTTCTGTGGTCACATCGAAGCCAGTCAAACTGGTGTAGGTAATAAAAAAGCCCGCATTAAAATCTGGTTTAAATAACACAGGGGTCAGTTTCAGCTCCTGCTGGAGCAGCTGATCAAGTGGGAAGGACAAGCTCTTTGCACGAGGACTCCTCTCTGCCCATCCAACCACCCCTGGGCTCTGGGGTTCTCTCCAAGCCCTCCCCCCAAGGGCTCTCAGGGGTCGTGTAGAGCATTTAGAGCTTTCTATCACTGCAAGTGGAAGCCTTTAATCAGCAGCACTGGAATCATTAGATCCATCTGCCACGCTGGCTTTATGTATACTGAAGAAATTCACCTTAAGGAACAAACGTTGGGCTATGGGAGGACGCAAAGGGAAGGGCTGAGAAGTAGGATGGAGTAGGAAAAATTAAATCTAACAGTGTAAGGAAATACACAAGTGTCCAATAGCCCCATGCTAAGTGATAAGTCAGGGCCTGCAGGTGTGACTGAGCCCTGCCTTCCTCCACAGTGCTGCTCCCAAAAATTACTGCACAGGTAAACAGGCAATTGCTGCAGTCATACAGCAGCGTGGGCTGTTTGCTTCTGCTTTATTCTGAACTCACAATGTCTTTTTGGAGAGGCAGAAACAGGAACAGAAAGGGTGTATTTTTTTCCCAACTGCACTGACAATAATTATCAGCCTCAGAGTCCCAGAAGGGGGGGGGGGGGGGGGGGGGAGGAAGTTTCCTCCAAAATTAATAATTTATTGTTATATTTACAGCTCCCTCTGCGGGGGCAGAGCACCTGCTGCTTTACTGGGGCTTCAGAGCTCAGGGCTGAGGCTCTGTACCTCTGATGGCAGGGACACAGAGGAGCCTGGGATGGAAACTTTGGGGCCCTGCCTTCAAGACAAACACATTCACTTACCTTTACTTCTTGTAAGGTAGCTGAGCACGGTGCTTATTGCCCCCACCTCCCAGTGGCAGCAGCACAGCACACAGCAAGGAAAGCATACAGCCATGCCAGGGGCTCAGGAGGCCAGGTACTGTTTGTAAACGGAGTGGTGTCCTTTTTTATTCAAACTGATTGCTGGAAAGCATCTTTTTTTATTGTGATGTGATGGATAATGACAAGGGGGGGGGGGGGAGGAGTTGGGTTTTTTTGTTGCTTTTTTTTCTTTTTTTTTTTTCTTTTTTCTCTTTTTTACAATATAAAGAAGCTAATGTACCACCAAGCTATTGGGTAAGAAAAAAAGATGGCAGCACGTGCAAGGTTTCAACAAAACAAAAAGAGGAGAGGGAAGGAGACAGAGAGAGAGATAAAGAAGTACCACATGTGATTGATTGTGATTGTTGCTCACAACTGTACAGGTCACAGGAGGTTGCCCCCAGGAGTTACCATTGCATTCACAGTAGTCAAAACCCTGCCTGCTGTTGTTGCCCCCCCAGTATCCTCCCCCCCCTTTCTGGGGGCACACAGGGACCTCTGTCCCATGGTCTGCAGCAGGCCTGAATGTGCAACGACAGCCACCTCTGTAACAAGGCTTGAAAAAGAACAGGAATCCTACAAACCAACCAACAACCAAAAAAACCCCAAAGGTGTATAAATGAGTCCGCAGTACATGTGACTGGGGGGGGCAGGGGGGGGTTAACCCTGAACTCCCCCAATGAGCACACACTCATTTCTTCCTTAGAGCTCAAGCAAATCCAGCTCTGCAGGGCTGGGCAGAGTCCAGCAGTGTGTGCATGGGCAGCCCCACACTGCCTGTGCCGTACCATCCACACCAGAGTAAACATGGACCACAAACTTGCCTTTTTTTCTTCATTTTTTTTTTTTTTTTCCTTTTTTTTTTTGTGTGTGTGTGTGTTTTTGTGTAACTCGTTGTCTTGTCTTTGGTATTGTTTGCAAAAGTTCACTAGAGATGCATAGACACCTGAATGGAGGAACTGAGCGCAGTTTCCAGGGGAGAGGAGGAGATCCGTGGGAAGGGGGGGAGCTCTGTTGGTGATGGATGTTGTGGCTCAGCAGCGCTGAGTCCTGATGGAGGAGCAGTGCCAGTCCCCCCCCCAGTGCCTGGAAGCTCCTCGAAGGCAAAAAGCATTCCCAACCATCACAGCTCTGCTTTCCCAGTGCGTGAGAAGGCGAAGGGAACGGCACCGCAGCCCTCCAGCACCGCCTCCCTTCTCTTCTTCACTTGGCCTTGTCTCAATACATCTTTGGATCGTTTATTCCTTCCCTTTTGACAGGTTTTGTTTTTTTTTTTTACTGTTTTGTTTTGGTTTTTTTTTTTTTCCTTTTTAAGCCAAAAAAAAAAAAGCAAAACACATCCCAGAAAAAATAACAACAAATCAAACCCTCCTTCCTCCTCGCTCCTCCGTCTCACGCTGCCCAGGGAGGCTCTCCTGCTCCCCAAAAACCTTCCATTCGTTCGACCCATCCTTCAGTTCCAGGAGCAGCTGGGAGCTGTTAGGATGGTGGTTTGGTGGTGTCGCTGAGCCCAGCCCCAATGGACGGGTTCCCATTCTCCTGCTTGGGGGAGATGCGGCTGGCGGAAGGCAGAGCGCTGCTGAACGGGGAGGAGACGCTGCCCGTGGATGAGGGCCGCAGCTCAGCTGGAGGAAGGTCCCTCTCTGGTGGCCTGAGCCCTGGGGGCTGCAGGGGGAAAGCCATGGGGAATCCAGCCATGTAGAGCACCCTGCCCACTCGCTTGGCCACCTGTTGGAAAGGGAGGAGCGTTAAATGCAAGGGTTGCGTTTTCCTGCTGCTTGTTTTGTGCCTGTTCTATAAAGGGAAGCTCGCGGCACGGCGCCGAACCAAAGTCCACACTGCAGTGCTCAGGTCTTGCTGTCCCATGAAGGGTTTGTGGAAACATGGAGAAATTGCAGCCTGCTTACCTGGCCAGGTGAGGGGAACGTGGAACCCATGTACGTAGCCCCAGGTGAGGGGAACCAGGAGCCCCTGTACATGGCCAGATAAGGGGAATGTGGACCCCACGTACATAGCCAGGTCAGGGGAACCAGATGCCCATGTCCCTGGCCAAGTAAGGGGAAGCTGGAGCCCATGTACCTGGCCAAGTAAGGGGAAGTTGGAGCCCATGTACCTGGCCAAGTAAGGGGAAGCTGGAGCCCATGTACCTGGCCAAGTAAGGGGAAGTTGGAGCTCATGTACCTGGCCAAGTAAGGGGAAGCTGGAGCCCATGTACCTGGCCAAGTAAGGGGAAGTTGGAGCCCATGTACCTGGCCAAGTAAGGGGAAGCTGGAGCCCATGTACCTGGCCAAGTAAGGAGAAGCTGGAGCCCATGTACCTGGCCAAGTAAGGGGAAGCTGGAGCCCATGTACCTGGCCAAGTAAGGGGAAGCTGGAGCCCATGTACCTGGCCAAGTAAGGGGAAGTTGGAGCTCATGTACCTGGCCAAGTAAGGGGAAGTTGGAGCCCATGTACATGGCCAAGTAAGGAGAAGCTGGAGCCCATGTACCTGGCCAAGCAAGGGGAAGCTGGAGCCCATGTACCTGGCCAAGTAAGGGGAAGTTGGAGCTCATGTACCTGGCCAAGTAAGGGGAAGCTGGAGCCCATGTACCTGGCCAAGTAAGGAGAAGCTGGAGCCCATGTACCTGGCCAAGTAAGGGGAAGTTGGAGCCCATGTACCTGGCCAAGTAAGGGGAAGTTGGAGCCCATGTACATGGCCAAGTAAGGGGAAGCTGGAGCCCATGTACCTGGCCAAGTAAGGGGAAGTTGGAGCCCATGTACCTGGCCAAGTAAGGGGAAGCTGGAGCCCATGTACCTGGCCAAGTAAGGGGAAGTTGGAGCCCATGTACATGGCCAAGTAAGGAGAAGCTGGAGCCCATGTACCTGGCCAAGTAAGGGGAAGTTGGAGCCCATGTACATGGCCAAGTAAGGGGAAGCTGGAGCCCATGTACCTGGCCAAGTAAGGGGAAGTTGGAGCTCATGTACCTGGCCAAGTAAGGGGAAGTTGGAGCCCATGTACCTGGCCAAGCAAGGGGAAGCTGGAGCCCACGTACCTGGCCAGGTTAGGCTGCAGTGCTGGTGGTAGTAGTGGTGACAGCAGGTCCTGCTGCCCTCCTACCGGGGCTCCCTGCTGCCTGCAGCTTCCCTTTGAGCTGGCTGAGGGATACCAGCCTGCTAGCTGTCACTGCAAGCAGCACTGGGCCAATAGAACCCTTCTGCTCTCCTCCTGCTCACCCCAAACCTACCAGGAAGGCTACAGCACAGTCCGTGCCCACTTGTGCACAGCAGGACCAACTCTAAGAGGAAGAGGGGGAAAAAAAAAAGAAAGAGCCTGGCTATGGGGTGCACAGGAAGCCATGAGCCTGCAGCCTCTCCCTTCCCGCAGCCGCTTTTGCCTCCCAGCAAGGGCCAAAGGCCTCCCAGCTTCCCAGCACCTACACAGCTGGTTCACATTTGAGCTTAAACAAAAACACAGGCATGTGCTCCAACCAGACAACTGGGGCATTATTCAGTTAGCAGCATCGGGACGCTGCTCCCCCCCTCGCTCCCCATGCCTTATTATAGAACTTTAAACACTATTGATTAAATTGAAGCAGGGTTTCTCTAGCTTCAGCCCGTATCTCACATTCTCCCCTACCAAATCCAATCTCGGTATGTCTGTGAGCTATTTGGCATCCACTGTTTTTTAAGAAACATAAGAGTTTTATTTCCTGCTGAATTGACCCACGGGGAACAATTGCCCACAGAACCTTTTTATTAGACTCCTCATAAACAGTGAGGGCTGTAGGGAAAGTAGTAAACTCACCATTATTGTTTTACCATCATACAACAAATGCACAGCTCGTGGGTTAGGGAAACCCTGTGTGAGCAGTGCCTGCGTGCAAGCTGCCATCCCAGCTACCAGCTACCAGCATGGCACCCTCTGGGGATGGCACTCTGTGCATTGTGTCCTCTGCAGCCAGCTCCCCATTGGCAGTTAATGGAAGGCAATGAGAAGCTCATCAGGTAGATAGGTGAGCTTGTGGGGTGTTTTGGAGGCCGGAATGAGCCTGCTTGAAACCAGACTGAATGACCGAGTGCAGCTGAGGAAGGGGCCCTACCTGTGAGCGTATCTTCAGTGCTGGCCCCAGCTTCAGCCCCATGTTGTTCAGCAGGTGCTCCTCTGTCAGCAAGGGCAGGGTCTCACCATCAATGGCCTGCTCACGGAATACCTGCAGGGAAGGGAGCAGGAGCCGGGCTCAGCACAGGGCAGCAGCACTGCAGGCCATTATCCATGCACGAGACACAGGAGGAAAGCATCTCCACTCTGACAACCCCTGGGGTCACTCCTACTGTTTGGAGAAAGCGGAGCCATCTGGCTTGTAAAGCACAGCAGCCTTCAGTGGGCACACGCAGCCCTCACCCTGCTGGCTGATAAAAAAGCAGCTCCACAGAACGCATTCTAATGCACCCAGCCTTGCTCAACTGTGCCATCTGAATGCATTTTTAAACCTGCCCCCATCTATCTCTGTGGGCAAGGTGATGCAGGAGTTCTGTGCTGTGAAGGGCTGCACACATGGGCTTATTGCTCCTTCAAACTAAGCAAGCCAGGTTCTGGGCCACGTCAATCCCATGCCCATTGTGTTGGGTTTGTTGGGCATCCCAATCCCACAGCCTCCTCTGCACATGGCACTGCCATCACCCAGCAGCACAGCGAGGGCAGCTTTCCACTCCCTGTCAGATTGCAGGCAGTGTTTTTTATCGCTGGGCTCCACAAGCAAAACTGCTTATGACTGCAGTGTGTGTTTCTGCTCTTTGACCCTGCGAAACTTAATATGCCCGTTTCCTTCCTCCGAAGACAGCGTGGCCAGGAGCCAGCAGCCTCCCTCCCTTCAGTGCTAAAACCCAAACCGAGCAAAGCAGCCGTCCTCCCCAGCTGTCCCACGGGTGCTGAGCCACCACGGGGACAAAGCTACGTATTGTTGCTGAAGCCTCATCTGCCCACGATGCCTGAGCAAAGCTGCCAAGAGCCGAGCTGTGTGCCCCCAGGGATGGTGGCACGGATGGCATCCCCAGCACAGAGCATTACCTGAGTGTACTCAGTGCAGCCCGCCAGGTTGGACACGAAGCTGCACACGTCCTCCACCGTCCATTTGCTGATGTCCTCCAGTGCTGGGCTCTCATCGCCATCCAGAAAGAGACCTCCCATAGTGCCTGGGTCAGGGGTGGGAGGGAGGGGTGGGGAAAGGCACATAAATCATTAAAATCCCACACGGGCAACAGCCAGCCTGCAATCTGAATATTTTTCTCCAGCCACACATTCATCTTTAATGACCTGTCAATTAAAGCGTTGGGCAGGGTCAATTCATAGCTTCTTCCTCCTGGAGGTCCCCAGCTTAGCAAGGGGGGCAGGGAAAGGAAAAATCCTAGCTAATGCATTGCATGTGTGCAATGTGCTTCAGCTGCAGGGAAGAGACGGGGGGAAGGGAGCAAAGAGAGGTGGGGGAAAAGGGGAAAAAGGCACAGAACCCAGAGAAGCAGCAGCTCAGTGCCCAGGCTGGAGGCTGTCCCCCGCTCCAGCCCTGCTCCGCCGTGCTGGCAGCTCGCACAATGATAACAAATAGGCAGCGGGCAGCTCGGAGGGATGCACCTTCTGTTCTAATAATGACATGTCACCGGGTGCTGCCGGCCCGGAGGATGCGAGAAGGGCAGCGTTGTTCCCTGCCAAGCCTCTGTCTGCCTCGGTGATAAATGATGGGCCGACGGAGCGGTAATGGATTGTGGAGCAGCACGCAGATGGGGCCCAGCGTGCGGCAGGGAGCGGCGCTCATCGTCCCAAGGCAGTGCCCCACGGACAGGTGTCACAGCACAGTCCCTGCTGCAACCCAACCCAAAGCCGACCTGCCTGTCATTTTTCCTCCAGCCGTTTTGGAAGAGCTGGGAACTCTCTGCAGCCTCTGCTACGGGGATGCACGGAGCAAAAGAGCCCTTAGGAAAAGACGCAGGGCTTGCTCTGCGAAGCAGCAGCGAGATCGCTGCCAAAGCCTGCAGACAGCGCTGGTGATGGAAATGCAAAGCGATGATAATAAATGGCTGTTAAGGAACCGGCGGTGCCGGGGGCAGCGAGCCCACCCGCAGCACGGCTCCCTGCCGAGCCCCAGCGCCGCGCTGCCTCCTGCTAATTGCTCTGCTAATTGCTGCGAGCTGAGGTGGGTTCGGGCTTTTGGCTGACAGAGAGGTGGTGCGGTGGATTCCCTGCCTTGTCCCAGCCGTGCAGTTTGCTGCAGGGGGCGATTACACACACACACACACAGCCCAACGATTTGGGCTTGGAAACTGGGTGAGCTCCTCCCTTCCCAGCACACCACTTCTGGCCGTTCCCATTAAGAATTCCCACTGCCTCTTCCTGAAGCTGTCCATGGCCCCCGGGTGAAGGTCCCTGCAATGGGGAGATGCCTCCATCCATCACACTATCCAGCCTGTGCGTGTGGCTTGGACTCAACTTTGTCCCTGCTGGCAATTATCACCATCCTTGTCTTCCCTCAGTGCACACAGAGACCTTTAAGCTCATTAAAAGGTGTTTGCTTCCCGCAGCCACAGAGAAGAACCGTAGAATCAATAAGGTTGGAAAAGACCACTTAAAACATCAAGATCCCCCCTGCCCCATCACCACCATGCCCGCACACACAACCACAGAGTCCTCAAAGCTGGAAAAGACCTCTAAGAGGCTGACCCACCACCATCACCATGTTCACTCGCAGAATCATCAAACCACAGAACCATCACGGTTGGAAAAGACCATCAGACCATCCCATGCAACGCCACGTCCCTCAGTGCCACATCTCCATGGTTTTTGAGCTCATCCACGGGCAGTGACTCCACCGCCTCCCTGCAGACCCTTTTCCCAACACCCAGCCCCGCTCTTCGGCGCGCTGCTGCACCCCGAAACCCACCTGCATGGAAGTAGGGGCTCATGGTGTAGGGGAAGCCGAAAGGCAGCGGCTGAGGCGGCGGGATGGAGGCTGGCGGCAGGTACTTCACCTCGCTCTTGTTGATGCCAGCACCAAGCAGGTGGCTGGGGGACTCGGCGCTGGAGGAGCTGCAGGGCGCGTTCTGGCTGCCGGTCCCTTCGCCCAGCTCCTTGCCCCCCTCGCACCCTTTGCCCGTCTCTTTGCACTCCTTCAGCTCCGTGGCTGAGCCGCTGCTCTCTGCCTTCAAGCTCTCCGCTTTCTCATCGCTGACGTCGGCGTCGCTCTCCGAGTCCTTCATCTCCTCGTCATTACAGTCCTGTGCTCCGTCCCGCGCCCGCGGCTCCGCCGCTTCCTTGGCCTCGCTGGATCCCTGCGGCTCGGCGCGGTGATGTGCCGCCTTCCGGCTGCCCCGCCGCGGCTGTTCCTTGGGCGGCGTGGAGCTGCTGGGGATGCTGGGGTTGAGGGACAGCAGCGGTGCGTTGTTGTGCCGCAGCACCAGCATGGCGTTGCGTCGCGACAGCTCGTCCCGCAGCGGGTGGCCCTCGGGGATGTCGTGCACGTTGCGCAGGGCGGGGTGGTCCGGGGGCAAGCCGGGGTGCAGGCTTAGAGGGTCACCAGCCAGCAGTCGTTGCCGGTGAAGGTTCTCCAGCTCCTTCTGGCGGATGATCTCAGCCGACATCTCCAACCTGCGAGGAGAGAAATGGCGGAAAGTGGGAGAGGGGGCTCCAAAGCTCGCTAAGCCTCACTGGAGCTCGGGGGCGCCTCAAGTACAGCCCCCCTGCACACCCACTTGTCTCGCCTGGCCAGGCTGCTTAGGGGCAGCTCCTCCAGACTGGCATCGTGCACCATTCCACAGGTGAAGGGGAAAGGCAACGGGAGGCAAAACAAGGCAGCGGAAGGGTAGCAAAGGGAACAGAGGGCAATGGAAGGTAATGGAAAGCAAGGGGAGGAAAAGCAATGGAAGGGAAAGGAAAGGAATGGGAGGCAAGGGGAGGCAAGAGGAATAACAGAAGGGAAGGCAAAGGAAGGCAACAGAACGAAAGGGAAAGGATAATAGAAGGTTATGAAAGAGAAGGGAAAATAATGGATGGCAACTGAAGGGAACGGAAGGCAACAGGAGGCAATGAAATGTAATGGAAGCCAAGAGAGGGTAATGGGAAACAACAGAAGGCAACGGGAGGCAGTGGAAGGCAACGGGAGGCTTGTCTTCTGCACCAGCCCTCTGTACTCCTTACCTTGCCAGGTTTTGCTTTCGTAGCATCTCTTGCTGCCGTGCAAACATCTCTGCTTGTGCCGGCTGTAGGAACCCGTAACCTGGGGACAGGGAGAAGAACACTGGGTTATTCATCTCTGCGTGCAATCCTGGCTCACCCAGGAGGGCCAGCTCTCCAGAGGGCTGCGCAGGGAAGGGCTGTGCTCACCTGGTGTCTGGCACAGGGCTGAAGGCACCCCGAGGAAAGGAGGTCGCAAGTGGGGCCCCAGGGCAATATGGGGAGCGTTCTGGGGCGAGAGCAGAGGCGGTGGGTGGGTTATCTCCCTGCAGGAAACAAAAGAAATCCATGCTGAACACCTGGAAGCAGTGATGGGAAGGTGCTGGCTTAGGCAGAGCATCTCTTCTGTGAGATAAAGGCTGAGATAAAAAGATGTCCACTGCCCATATGCAGAACTTGAAAAGAGGAATGCAAGCAGGGAGTGGAGTCCATGCCAAGAATTGCTTTGGGAGCTGGATGGGCCGGTCAGTGAGCTGCAGGAGATGTGAGGGGTGGGAAGGGGACAATGCATGGAAGCACGGCAGGTAGAGCTTGCTTGCTTTGCAAAGAAAAAAAATAGGAGAAAACAAGAACATGCAAGAAAGGAATAGGAGCCAAGGTCTCTTCCATTAGTCAAATCTGCCCTGGGAGCCTGCAAGCAAATCTCTGCTTTCCGGCTGCACGTCTCTTAATTCCTTTTGATGGCCACTTACAACATTATTACCTTCACCGGGGCATCCAGAGGCAGAGCCAAGTGCTGCGCCATTTATTTTCATTTTACAGCATCTCCCCATAAAATCTGCTTTGGGAGAGACTGGAAGGCAGCGGGGAGGAATGGGGACTTGTGAGTGTGGGACAAGGGGAGAATCCCAGGCGGGGACAGACAGCCAGCAGGGCACACAGCGTGAGGTGCCACGGGCAGATGGCTGCACAGCACTGCAGCTTTCCAACTGCAAGAGAAGGATGCCGCCCTCTGAAATTCCTCCCCTTCCCGGCCGCCTCCGGCTCTCCTTCCCTCCCTCCTTCCTCCCCTAGCTCTCCTCTAAACTAATTGCACAGCTCGCCGTGTCTGGAGGAGAGCCACGGATCGATCCGTCGCTGCTGAAATGTTAATGCTAATCGTATAACCGCTCCGCCAGCACCTCGCACTTCGGTGGCAGCTCCAATTAATCTCAGGTAACGCAGCGCCGTGACCTTCGGCTCCGAGCCGGGGCAGCAGCCAAGCGATGCTTATGTAATTACACCATGAAGTGTGTAATCACCTGCCCTAATCCCCGAGGCCTCACAATTAGCTGAGGCCTCGGTCGCTGGGCTGCCAAGTGCTTTGCCACCCCGGACAGCCTGCAGATGAATAACGGACAATTAAAGCGGCATGACGGGGGCGAGGAGGTGTCCGTTCGATCGTAATTAGCTGTAATCACGGGGAGACGAGGCTGGCAGACGTGCTGTTCGTTTGATAAGAAGCAATTTAGGGAACGGAGTCGGCTTTTAACCGTTCCCCGGCCAGGCAAACGCTGGGTGCACCCCCTATCTGTGGGCACGGAGAAGGGGAATCGGCGTGGGGAGAACGGGGCTGCCCACAGAGATGCTTAAAAACCCAGATTTTAGCTGAGAAGAGTCAATCTGTGCTGGGGACCAGGGCTGGGCATGAGGAAAACGGAAGGCTCTCTGGTTAGAGGCAAGCAGAGCGTTAACCAGAGGATGGTTTTGTGCTTAAGGTTGCACGCTGTGATCCCAAAGGAATCCACACCCGCTCTTGCTCAGCCCCTCTGCTCCAGGAGGAGCTGTGCCACCGCCAGCCCTGCAGGGGCTGAGATGCTCAGGGCTGGGAAGCGATGCTCTGCTGGGAAGGAAGGACCGTGCTGCCATGCACATGGCCAACAGCAGCGGGGACCCCAATGGGATGTGGAGATGCAGCCTCAGACCAAAAGCCAGAGCCTCGCGCTCTCCTCCCTCAGGCAGATCTCAGCCTTCAGCTGATCCTCCCCTTCCTCCCCTTCTTCTGCCTCCCTGACCAAGGGCTGAGCTGCACTCCCAGAACACCAACGCAGCCCTGGGCCATCGCATCCGATAAGCCTCGCCTTTGCAACGAGCAATTCTGTGACCATCAGAGTGCTCCTGCATATCGCCCCCAGCCCTCTTTGCCCCCCTGCCATGCCAGCTGGAGCCTCCCGAGCACAGTATTAGGGGATTTGCACTGCATGCTGCTAAATTTGATATGTCCTTTAACAGGAGACAAATGGTTCGCAAGGCTTAAAAAGTATCGACTTTTCCTTAACAATAAGCGCTAATGGCCTTCAAATAATCAATATTTAAAGTCATTATGGGGTTACACATTATACTGTTAAATCGGAGCCTCACGCTTTAACCCCATCGCATCCTCCCAGCGTGCTCCAAAGGCTGCAGTGGGAGATGGGAACGGGGCTGGGAACGCAGATTGGAAGCGGCAAGGCGTGGAAATAAATTTAGAACGGCTGGAAGAAGGGGGAATAAGAAGGCATGAGAGCTCTGCTCCCTTCTGCTCTGCGTTTGATAGGAAGAGACACTTGAAACCCGAGGTAAGAGGCAGGCGGCACGCAGCTCGGGGCTGGCTGGCTGTGCTGGCAGCAGGCTGCAGCCATCATCACGACACCTCCCAGCTCCATCCTTCCTCCTTCCAAACCTTTTTCTAGCTCCAACCCCAACCGCCCTCCCCTACAACCTGCCTGCTGTAGGAGCTCCATCCCTGAACCCACCTGGAACCCCAGCCCTGCGCCCACCAAGCTGCTTCTGCTGCTGGGAATGGAGCAGCCTCCATCCCACCTGCAGTCTGCCTCCATCACCACCTCCTCAATGCTCAGTGCCCGCCTGAACCTCTGAAATTTCTTACCCCTCTGAAGCAGAGGTGCACAAAAGCTGCTTTGATTTACCCTGATACAGAGCATGGCCCAAGTGCCCTGCTGACAGCTGCAGGCAGGACACATGCTAGGAGTTAACCCACAGCAAGAGTTACCCCATGGCAGGAGTTAACCCAGTGCTTTCCTGCTTAGCAATGTGCAGCATCCCAATGGCTCTCGGGGTGCTCAGGCACCCAAGGAGACTGCACCAGGAGCACGATGCACAGACAGGGCTCTGCTGCTGGTGTCTCAGGCTGCTGGATTGGACCGTGCTTCCTTTGCTTGCCTGCCTCATTCCCACTGACACGACTCGTTCTGCTTGTGTGCAAGCTGGCACGTGGCTGCCAACATCCTGCTTTGTGCTGCTCTGCTTTGACTGCAGTTCTCAGGGGCTTTCCTGGACCGTATGCTTTCAGAGCAAGGAAAACAATCACAATGAGGGAAAGTGAGGCATAGGACTTCCTGAGGGCTGCACACACAGCTGGCACAGGTACCCAGCAGCCTTATGAATGGGCCACACCTGGGGGTGCTTCTGCACTGTGGGCATCCAAATGGGGGGGGGGGGGGGGGGGGGAGGGAGGGTGACCCAAAGGGCAGGGGAAGGTCTGCACCCAGCCCTGTGGGATTCCTCTGCCCCGGATGGAAGGCGGAGGCTGCAGCTCCTGTGAGCATCCCCACCTCCCAGCTCTGGTGGGGAGGCACGAAGCACTCAGTTCATTTCCCTCTGGAGTTGCTGATTGCAGAGGGCACGGCTGGGGAGGGGAGGGCCGGCTTCCCAGCACTGCTGGCAGCAGGAGAGAGAAGCCTCGCCTCCTTCTTCCTCAAAAAAAAAAAAAATAATAATAATAAAAGGAAATTTCTTCTCTTTTTCTTCCATCCCAGCACATTCCTTCTGTCTCTCATCTGGAGAAGCCACAAAACACAAACTTCAACGTCTCCACTTCGCTCTGGGCAGAGCCGGGCAGGGGGTCTGGGCTCCCCACAGCCACAGGGTGGGCGCATCGCCTTCTGAACACCCCACGTTACACCTGCACGAGCTGCAGCCCCCCTCCCCAGCCCCGCAGCGGTGGGTTACCTGTCGGGGAAGTGGCTGTCCCTGTGCTGGGGGAGGCCCTGCTTCCTGCGTTGCGAGGACGAATTGCCGGCAGTGGGGATGTGAGCTTCCATCGCTCCCGGGTTCCGCGCAGCCGCCGCCGCTGCCACCTCCTGCCGAGCCCGGAGGAGATCTGGGGAGAAGGGAAGTGCTGAGCCCAGGCCCCGCTAACCCTGGGGTCCCTGGTATCCCCCCCCCCCCCCCCCTTCCTCCCAGACAGCCCCCCCTCTCCCTGCCCCACTTCCCCCTGCGCTGCTGCCGGCTCCCCGCGGGTGACAGCGCTCCTCCAGCTCCCCCCTCTCCCCGTGTCCCCCCCTCCCCATCCTTCATCCCTGCGGCCCTTGGGCGACAGCCACCCCCCCCCCCCCCACTTCTTCTTCCCCCCCATCTCTGCTGTCACGCGGCGCTCACTCGGTGGAGCAGAGCCGCCTCCACCTCCGCAGGAGTTTGGCAGCAGAGGAAATTGTGCAACTCCGAGAGAAGCGGGGAGGGGGGGGGGGGGGGATGGAGGAGAGAAGGAGGGGGGGCTTAATTGCCTCGCATGGCAGAGGGAGGGGAGGAGGAAAGGAGGCCCCCCCCACAGCAGCAGCAGGATGCTGGTCCGGCAGGTTGCTGCACGCCTGGTGCTGCTGCGGGACAGGAGAAGGCTGCTGTTCCCTCACCAAACCCATCCGCACCGTAAGACCCCCCCCCCCCAACAACAGCCATTCCCCCCCCCCCCCTCCTTTCCCTCCTCCCCCTTCTTTCTCTCAGCTCAAACCCCCACAGGACCGCATTAAAGCCCGGAGCACTCGGAGCCGGGCACAGCGCTCCTTCCACGCTCATTAATTAATTACCTGCAGGACCCAGGTCACCCCTCGCGGCGGTAATTCAGCCGCCTGGCGTGCAGCCAGCTGCAGCAGCCGCATCGATCCCCAGCGACCACAACAACCCCCGCCGCCCCCCCCTATATCCCCTCACCCCCCCCCCCCCCAATCACACACACACACACAAGCTCTGCTATTTACAATCCTGCACTCTGACAGTTGGGAAATCAGATTGATGGACAGCGGGACGCCGCCGGTTGAGGTTCCAGGCGGGCTGGAGGGAAAAGAGGTTGAGGAGAAGGGGAGGCGGAGGGGGGGGGGGGGGGGGGGGGGGGGGGGAGGAATTAAAAAAAAACAAAAAAAAAGCCCTAAATTATTAACGTTTTTTAAATTATTAATGGTATCGGTGCCTCCGTGCGAGCCAGCGGATAAACTGCGCTTTGTAGGGGCAGTAATAATTGATAGCTGCGGTGTGGAGCCCATCCAAAACGCACCGAGTTCTGTCTCTGCTCCCCAACGCTCAGGGTGACCCTTCCGCCAAGGAGAAAACTGCCTCACAACCATTATATATATATACATACATTGGGCTTTTAAGGTAATGAGCTCCTTCAGTGGGGGGTGGCACTGGGGGGGTTCTGCCCCACGGAGCTCCGCAGCTCTGCCATGGTGTGGGAACACTGATGAGCCAATTCTGACTCTCCAACAACAGGAATCGCCTTCTTGCCCCCAGAGAAGCCAATCAAATCAAACAGAGTGGAAAAGAAGACAGCCTCTTCATTAACCTAACAAGGAGCCCTGGGGATTTGCGCTCCCAGACTGGAGATTCTCCTCCAGCTCCTGCTGGATGGATGGATGGATGGATGGATGGATGGATGGATGGATGGATGGATGGATGGATGGATGGAATGCTTCGCGGGTGCTGCTCGTGCTCCTTCCCCACAGCCCTGGCTGGGAAGCAGCAAAGGGCCCGTGGGTTCTGCACAGCACCACTCGTCAGCAGTGCTCCTGCTCTCTGCTCCCAGGCTGGAGCCATGCTGTCACCTCCTGCCTCTCCTGCACTGCCACATGCAGGCAGCTGGGTCCCATCCATCCTCCCCGCAGCACAGGAGCCTGCAGCTTGCTTGCGTGGGGATGCTGAGCATCCCAAGGACGATGAGCTCCTGAGGATGCTGAGTCCTCCCCAGGGTGGAACCTCCATCTGCCTGGTGCCCCCTTTAGGCACAGCACAGCATCGTGCAGCCACGCTGCATTCAGGCAGCTTTGTCCCCATCTGATGGCAAACCCAGCAGTGACCCTTCCTATCATGCAGCACCCAACAGGCACAGCAGGACTCCTCCCACACGACACTGTCCCAGCTCAGGGTACAAAGCAGGGATGGAATAAAGCAGGACCAGGGGTCCCCTGCTGTCCCTAAGCACCCAACTCCACCTCAGAGGAGCAGACCATCCTGGGAAGGCCTGCAGCCAACTCCTTGGTGCTGGAAGCTGCAACCTACGTGCAACCTGGGAAGCCCCCACTGCTGGGGACCAGAGTGAGCCCTGGGGATGCAAACACCACTAAGTTCAAGAGATGACACCATGTAAGAACCTGTCCCACCGACTGCAGCATCTCCCTGCATCTCAGCTGCATCTACACATTTTAATTGTTTGTAAAGCCATAGGACTCCTAACTCTCATTAAGGCAAAAGGCCACCGACAGCAATTTTGTCTGCATGCACAAACCTTCTGACCACACGCTGTCGATGCTTAACGACACCACACCCCAAAGCCCATCAGCAAAGGGCATCCCATGGCACCACAACCACACGCAGCGAACTGGGAACAGCCCATCTGACAAAACCCGAGCTCCCCACCTCAAACCCAAGCCCTACCTCCGTGGCTGGGCACTGCCATGCTGTTGGCCAGCTGGTAGAGCCGCTGCTGCTGCTGCTCCTCAAACGTGCCGTGCTCGTTCAGCGCCGACATCATGCGCCTGTAGTGCTCCTCTGGGGTCATCTGAGTCACTGAGTCCTCCAGCAGAGGCGTGTGGGAGTTTTCTAAAGGACAGAAAGGTTTGGTGTTGGGACAATCTCCCTTTAGCTCGAGCACGTGCAGAACCCAATGAGGTGCCAGTGTGTGCATACCCATGGCTAGGCCTCCAGCCACGGCCGTGCTCACACACAGCAACACCCACAACACACAGATGCTGGTCTTTAGCACAGGACACAATCACACAACTGGAAGGACACCAATCTAGACGACCACAGAACCGCAGCATCGTTCAGATCCCCACCCCACCTTGCCCACTCCATGCCCCTCACAGTGCCACATCTCAGCACCCCGATGATGGCAACCCCTCCACCCTCCCCGGGCAGCCCATGCCCACACACGGCTGCTTTTGCATCTTCTTCCCCTTTGCCAGCTCTGATCCCCACGGCAGGCAGTGAGGACAGCCAGGCAGTGCAGGAGCACACGCAGCACACTGCTGCGGGTCTGCGCACGCAGCCCCACCGCCCCGAGGCCAACATAATCACACCCAGGCTGGCAACGAGGAGATGAAACCACAGAAGCTCTGTGTTTACTGTAAGCAACGCACAGTGATTACCCTTCTCCCCCTCCGTGGTGGTTTTATCTCGGATCTCCTCCAGGGCCAAACCCTTCCCGTGATGGGGGAACTCCCAGCAGCAAGGTGGGCAGGAGAACCACGGGACCCCCTACAGCGTGCCCCCAGCCCCACACTGTGCCCCCAGTGCCAGGCAGGCACGCTGCCTGATGCCTTCCCTTCACAGCTTGGAGGATTGTCACCCCCTCCCCCCATGCCCTGCCAGCCCTACACGCTCACATTTCCATATGAGACGCCAGAACGTTCTGCTCTGCTTGACAGCCACTGCTGCACCGCCAGGGCTCCTCCTGAGCATCCCAGGGGAGGGAGGGATGATGGAGGGAGGGCTGCTGCCCTGCTGGGAGCACTCCCAGCCCCACAGGTGCTTTTCCCTGGGCCAGGGAAGGACTGGCCCGCTGGCTCTGGCTCTTTGCTATGACACGGGGTCACCTTCCCTCTTCCTACAGTTGGGGTCCCAAATCCCACATCGGCAGCCCATGGAGTCTGTGGCACAGGATGCAAAGACACTTCTAACCCCCCTTCGGCCCCTTTACGTGGCAGAAAGTGGGCAAATTGAGACTCAGAAAGCATCTCCATCCCTTCTCTTCCTCCCATTCTGAGGCCCAGAACACCTGACAGGTGCCAAGAATTGCTGGGGAGCCCCCTGTGCTCGAGCACGACACAAACCAGGGAACGTGGGGGCTGCCAGACAGCTCAGCTCAGACTTTCCACCCTGTCTTGCAAAGGGCAGGGAAAGACTTTCTGAGAAAAGAAGTGGGAGTGGAAAGTTTGCTTTTATGCCAGGCTTCCTGGGAACCCCTCTCAGAACGAGTGGGGGAATCCCTGCCTGAGTCAACAGGAGCATTTGGGTCCTGAGAGCAAAGCTGTGCTCAGGGGGCACTGCCCCTGTAGGGCTGTGCTCAGCCCTATAGGGGCAGTGGGAAGGCAGAGGATGGGACAGCATGGGACCACTGCTCCCATGGCAAAACCATCCATCCATTGGGCTCTTCCATGGAGAATCCCAATGCAACAGCAATAGGGCAGGTGGGTGATGAAAGGAGAAGAAGCCAAGGGCAGCATACAGGGTTCCCCCTTTGCACCTCTCAGTGAAAAGCTAAGGTGCTCCTGGTAGGAACAGAGAGCACAGGGGAGGTGGGACACGTGAAACAAAAGATCTGGCACGCTGCAAGAAGTGACACGAGCATCCCATAACGCAGGGACAGGGAATCACCAGCAGAGAGGGACATGCCATCAAACCAGGCACCATCACCTACAATACATCCAGACACACCAGCACGTCAGGTTTCAGCCTGCAGGACCCCCCCCCTCCAAGAACACACCTCCAGAGCACCCGGCCCTGACAGCTCTCACTCCTTCCCACAGCCAGGGGACTGCAGATGGGGTGGGCACTGCTGGCAGCTCATTAGGCACAACTTTACAACAAAGCCTGCAAGCCAGCGGCCTGCACGCCCTCCTTTAGGCAACGCGGAGACAAACTCATTAGCTGCAGGCTCCATTACTCTGCTGGCTGTAAAGAAAGTTTTCAAATCGCCTTTGCAGCAAGGAGCCGTGGAACAAATCACATTTTTAAATCCCCTCTAAAAGAGAAACCTTCTGCAGATCACATGTCTGCAGGAACGCTGCCAGGAGAGCAGCCAGGCAGCCCCATCCTCCCTTTAAGGGAGCAGATGCCAGCACGATAAGCCCCGCCGTATCTTTTATATTAAACATGTAATCAAGGCATTCTGCCTGAAGAGCAGACACCCCTCAAACCCACCGCGAAGCTGCAGCTTGCTCTGCAGACCTCAAAGCCATCCTTCTCATTAAGATACAATTCCCCCCCCTTCGATGAGATAAAGCCCCCCCCCCCGTCTCAATTAAGTTAAGAAAGGAGAAGAAAGGGGCGGAGGGAGGTGGCACTTACCCTTTGGGGACTCACTTCGGGCTTTCTTGCTCTCTAACGGGCACTCACTGCTGCTGTTGGGAGAGCATACTCTTCTCTTGCCTAAAATGTCATCTAGGAGAGATGAGAGCTGGGTGTCAGAGGCTGCCCCGTGCAGAAGCAGCTGGGGGGGGCTCTGCTGCTCTCCAACGCACGCTCACGTGTACTACAGGCAAAGGAAAAAGAAAAACCACCCCCCCAAAAAACCAAACCAAGCCCTGAAGTAAGAAAAATCATCATCCCGAGAGCCGCGCTCTGCTTTCCTAATCACGCAGCCCCAAAGCGCGTAATGACTGCTGGAGCTCTGATCAATGCCACGCTCTCCAGCCATAAATCCCCAACCCGCCTCGTTTCCTTACTGAGTTTCATCGTTTGTTCTGCTGCCTTTTGTCCCCCCGGTGCTTCCACTCCTTTCATGCCCCGATGCAAGAAAAAACAACACGCCAAAAGCACAACAGCTCCGCGACTCTTCCCACCACCACCGTGTCTCTCTCTCTCCCTCTCTCTCTCTCTCTCTTCCCCCTCCTCCCTCCCTCTCTCTCCTCTTCAAAACCTCAAGGTCCTCTGCAATCTTTCCCTTCGGAAACGCTCGAGCCCTTTGCATTAGCGCAGCCCCACGAACCAAATACCCAATGCACAATTACAGCATCCCCAAACGGATTCCGAATCGATAGCCTCCCATAATAACGCTGGGGAAACTGAAAGCATGATGTTGCATATGGGCAGGAAGGAAGAGGCTGTTTGTCACTGCGAGCATCAAATCCTCATCTATCAAGGGCTTGTTAAAGATGCAGCATCTTCGGGAGGAGAGCTCACAAACAAGCAGCATCTGAGCCGGCACACAGAGCACCTGCAAGCCAACGCTGCTGCAGCTTGCAGCGTGCACTCGTTAGGGAAGGCTACACAGCCCCACGGTGCTATTTATGAGCAAGCAGATTCCAGGTGACATTGTGAGCCAAGGCAAGTGTCCTTCGTGCTCAGAGTCCCTGGGTGGGCCCAGGTGCTGCACTTCCCCTGGCACTGAGCACCACGCTGCAGCTCAGGAGCATCCCCAGCTCTGCACAGCTACAAGTGGCATCTCCTGGCTTCCAGCAGCACAGGCTGCCCCCTGCACCACCCACCTGCTAGCACAGACAGCACCGAGCTGGCAGCAGAGCCCCAATAACTGCCATCAAACAGCAGAACAGACGGGAGGATGGAGCCAGCCAGAGTTCACATCCCAGGTGCAGAGCCACAAATCAGCCCTGGCTGCCTTCCACATCCCATCACTCCTCCTGCCTCAGTTTACCCTTGAAATAACTTCTCCCAGCCTGGCCAGCAGGCAGCAAACCCATGTGGGTTTTTTCTTTCCTTTCTTTTTTCCACTTCTGCCTCCTGCCTTCCACAACAGCCCAATTGGGAAGGATGTTATCAGCAGGACTGCGCTGCTATCAGGGCAGGGTAGGTGACGTTGCACACCCCCATGCAGACTGAGAAATGAAAATGCTTTTTTTTTCTAGTCACCGTGCTCTGACAGCAGGATTTCAGAGCCTAAGGCAGCTGGGCAGGCTGGAAGCTCAGCTCTAGGCTTCCCCACAGAGCATCATCAAACCCAACCCCAGGAGATGACAATTCCCAGAACCACACCACGATGCTTTGGCAGCAGCTCCACGGGCTCAGTTCTCTCCAATCCCTCAGCGCAACGTGAATGACAGCCCTGCAGGGACACAGGGGATGTCCTTCCCCACCAGTATCAGAGCCCTGGGCTGCCCCCAGCAGCAGCCATGGGATGAGGGGCCGGGCAGGAGGAGCAGCAAGCCGGTCCCAGCCTTTGCCAGCAGGGATCAATGGAACAAAGGCAGAGCGCAGCGCAAGGTCATGGGAAGAGCGGGCTGTCCTTTAACAGAGGGCAAGGAGAATGGAAATGGGAATGATTGGAGGGCCAGGCAAAGGGGAGCAAAGGGTTTCTGCCACTTAGCAGCAAAACAAAGGCAGCATCCTCTAGCAGCAGGTCAGCTGGACGGCCCTGAGGACACGGCAGCAGCAGGCTTCAACTCTGCACTACTGCACCGCGTTCTCCCCACGCTCTGTTCCCTCTCCACATCCATTTGTTGGCTGTTGTTTGAAGTTAGCTGCAAGCTGTCACTCTCAGACCCGTGTGTCACACAGCACGGACCCATGTCACTGTCTCAAGCACAAAGCAGCAGGATTCCCAAAGCCCAGCACATCCTCCATCCGCCCCTAGGTTGGATCCCCCTTCTCTGCTCTCACTGGCCATCTGCCTCTCCTCCCACCATGCAGGCAGCATCCCGCTCCTTCCCACCTCCCCATGGCCAGCCCCAAAACCTGCTCCAGTATTTCCCTTCCCAAGGAAGGAAGCAGGGCTGAACCAACCTCTGACCCGTCTGGAATGGGGTTGGTTAATAAGGAAGGCACACTGATGTCCCCAGGTCTCCCAGCTCCCTGCAAAATTCCCTTTTACGGCGTGCACCGTGCCATAAAAAGGTGGTAAATATTCATAGTATGGAAAACACTCACAGAGAGGATATACTGCACTTAAGAGAGAGATCTGGATTCATTTTATATGCTGCAGAGAGGCTGTTTAGCAATTGCAAACTTGTGAATCCCCCCTTTGCTTTTTGGAAGAGATGCATGGAAGGAGGCAGGGCTGGAGGTCCGGGCGTGCTGGGGACCTGCTGGCTTTGCAGTGCTGTGCCCTCAGCACCATTTAAATGTCCAATTGCTCTCATCCAACCCCTGCAAAGCCCCGCGCCGCTGCAGCCCGTGACAGCTCTGACAGCCAGACTCCTTAATTCCTTTTTCTTATTCCCTTAATCTGTCATCTTTATCAGGCTGAGGAAGTGCCAGGCAGCGTGCAGGAGCCCCGGCCCCGATCAATCTCCACATTACAGCTGACAGAATGGTGCTAATAACTTATTGATCCTATGTTTGCCAAGCCCCACTGGGGTGGGAAGGTTTCCATTGATTGGCTCCAAGGAAGGGGCTCTCAGCTGCCAGGGGGGGGGGAAAGCCATCCAACTGCCCTCTGCTGAGGAGCCCAGGGATGAAGGGAGGCTGGGAAGGGCCAACAGGAGGACAAGGGAGCGGATTTGATGCGTAGGAACCAACTCATCCCTATGCACATCCATAGCAGCAGGGAGATGCCACCGTGCTGACAGTTTGTTTTCAGCTGCCTGTGAGACACCTGGGAGAGGAGGTGGAAGCAGAGGAGGTTATTTTTGGAAGGAGGATCATCTGGCTCTTCCCAGAGCTGCAAGGAAAGGGAGGGAAAGTTGCTGATTATATACAGCTGTTTGGGCTGCTGTGGGGAAGCCTCTCGCTGTGACGCTGCATCAAGGTGCCCCTGCCCAAAGCTCTGCTGCAGCTGCACCTGCAGGGCACAGCAAAAGGCAACGCCAAGCATTTCCACACCACGTTTTGCCATTTTTGCTTCATCTCCCAGGACCTTCACCTCCAAAGGATGCTGGGTGCCTCCTGCTGGGCTTCAGAAGAAATAAACAGGAACCTGAAGAAAGCACAAAGGGCAGACAAGCCTCCAGACAGGCACAGCACAGACCCTCCCACTGCCTAGGTGAGCAGCCGGCCTTCCTGCAAGCCAAGGTGCCCGGGCATCCAACTCCCAGCTGTCCACGTGGTGATGATTTTCTGCTCAATTTAAGGCAACAATTCAATAGAGGCAGCTTGGCTGTTGTTGTTTTGCTTTGTTAAATGAAAACACGGCTGCATCCCAGCTCATTATGACACGCAGCCTCTGGGATGCTGTCTCTTACCATCAGCCACAACATCCCCGGGCCCAACCCTTCCTCTCCCCTCCCCTGCAGATGAAAGCTCCAGGTTGGTGCCTTAAAGCAGCCCCAAGGAAGGGGAGGTAGGCGGCTACACCAGCCACAAGTCCTCAAAGCCCCCAGACCCATTTTTAAATGCTAATCTGCTTCCATTCCATCCCAAAACTTCTCCTCCTTCGCCCCCCTGGCAGAGCATTGAGTGGAAAGATGTGACAGGAGTGTTAAAACAGAGGAACAAATAACCTTGGGGTGAGAAGAGAGAGAACCACAGAACACCCAGAGTTGGAAGGGACCCATTGCAGGGTGCTTCTCTCCATTAAGACCCCCTTCTGAGGTACTTTTCCTTTCCTCCTCCATTTGGCATATTAAATATTACATCCTGCCATTCAGCGAGCACCAGAAGGGAAGGACAGAGCAGAAAACTCACGGGGACAAGAGAGGGGAGAGCATCCCCCCATCTCCAGTGAGCCTGGGGGCTGTGGGTATCACCCAAACATCACAGCTCACCTCCAGGTTTCTCCACCCAGGACCAGCCTTACTTCCAGCATCTCCGCTAGAAAGCTTCAATTTTCAATGATGATCACCTATTTGTTTTTAAAATAAGAGTCAGTTTCAGGGCAGAGCAGGAGGAGATGGATGGGAGCCCAATGCAGACGCAACCCTGACGTCCAAACAGGAGCTGGGTATCATTTTAATCAAAGGGGAGCAGCAGAGAAGAGAGCTAAATTCCCTTGCTCTACATCCCCAATCTGCACAAACAGAGTCTAGCAAAGAAGCCAGGAAAGACGAGGCAGGAAGTAGAGCTATGCCTGCCCTACTGTGGGCTGATCTGCCTCTCCATGCCCTGCTGTTCTCATGCACTTCAGAGCAGCACAAGGTGTGCACCAGCAGCACAACCATCACCTGTCCCCCGTGAGCCTTGCAGAGCAGCAAGAGCACCCTTCTCATTTCTGACTATAAATGCATTTCCCAGGCCCTGCAGCTCTCAGCTTTGCTGATCCAGACTTCTGCAGATGCTCGAGCCCTACCCTGCAGAGCCCAGAACTAACACATGCCATTCATTCCCAGCAGTTTCAGTCCCTTTCTACATTGCAAAGAGCATTCAAGACCCAGCAATAATTCCGCTTTCCCAGTCCACGCTGTTCAGAACTACAGCCCTGCCTCTAATCATGGTCTCAACCATAAATCAAGCAGCTCTCACAGAATTCATCATAAACCAACCAACCCTGCCGACTTCGATCCTCTTCTTGGCCCCACGGGCCCTGCAGTAAACAAACCTCCGTTTGCACTGCCCTCTGCTCAGCCCAAGAGCCAAGTGCACCCACATTAGGCTCCTCACCCTGCCCTACAAGCACACCAGGAATGGTGTGAGCATCAGTTCCAGCTCACATTGCTGTCCTCGTTGCCTCAGCTGTGCATTTCTTCCTTCTCCTGCAATGGGAGAACCTCACACAACAGTTCCAGCAGGTACAAATGAGGACCTCTGCCTCTCATCTTTGCTGCTGCTTAGCGAGAAGTACGCTTTGCATTTCTGGCATGTTAAGGATCTCAGAATTTCAGCAGCACTGATAAGGGCCAGCTGTGTCCCTGTGAAGCAAACAACATTAAAGACCATTTTAACACACGAGGTCAGCCGAGACACCCAGACACGAGGCAGGTCACAAGGAACAACTTATCTCCCCGGCCAGTTTGCCTCTCAGAGCTGTGTAATGAAGGAGAAAAGGAGATTCAGCCGTGCCAGCAAGGAGGGGGAGCTGCTGGGGCTGCTCTGCAGACAGCACAACCCCCCTGCAGCCCCAGCCAGGAGGGAGCCTCATGCAGGAGGAGAAGCAGGGAAGCCTCTGATTAATGAAATTACAAATCAAGCCACGCTCTCTGCAAGGCCTTTCTGCTTCACTTGATGCTAGCCCCGGGGATGCTGCACTTTGCTGGCACGGGCTGATTTGCAGTAGTTTAACACAGACCACTGGACGTGAGGATAACGCAGGGCTGAGATCTCAAAACACTGCAGCACTTCACATCCCCGAGAATTCCCTTCCACGTTCACTGCCACCCAGAACACCACGAAACCTCACAGGGCTCGCTCAGAACAACAAAGAGCAGCAGGAGAACAGAACAGAGCCGTCCCAAGGAAAGCACAAATCTGGGGCTGAAGGAACAGGACCGGCTCCGGCCGCTTACCTGCAGCTCCCAAGCCAACATCCACGCTGTTCCTCTTGAATTCACAGCGGCTCTGGGTCTCTGGCATAACGAGCTGGCGGCTCTGATGCAGGTTGGAGATGATAGTGGAGAGGTCGTTATCACGGCTGCAACAGAGCAGAAAAGCACCAAGTTAAGGAAATCCTATTTGCCGCCACGTAATTGATTTTCGCGTGCGGACGCCTGTGTGAGCAGCTCAGGTTTACCCCAACCCTGGGGGGGGGGAAGGGGGGTGGGTTTCTCCTTGGGATCCATTCCCAAATCACCCCCCCCTTGGTTTGGGAGAGCAAAACGCTTCCCGTAAAGGGCTGAGCGGCCGCCAGCTGTCAGCTGTGCCAGATACACACAAGGTGCGTGGGCCGCGTGGATGGAAAAACTGAATTGCAGCTCCGTCCCAGCACTCATAGGAAACTTGAACGGAGAGAACTGATAGTTTTCTATCAGCTGCCATCCCTTCTATCCTCGAGAAGTAAGATTTTCCATTCCGGCGCTGCTGGAACGCACCGTTGTTTGCTTGGAAACTGCTCTTCTGTTCAGAGAGAAGCCCACCGTGGATCTGCACGCATGCAGCACTCAGAGCACATGGCACAGCTCTATCTACAGAGCCCTCGGAGCACTATCTGCTCCTCTCCTTGCATCAGAATGCCGAGGAGCGGGCTGGGTCCAACCAGTTTTGGCTTCCTCCCTATGGAGAAGGACCCAAACTCAGCAAGACATTCAGTGCAGCCAAGCTCTTGCAAAACACTCCTCCATAAACGCAAACAGAAGAGCTGCGAGCCTCCCTTTGCCCTCCAATGCTCCCCCTCCACCTCCCCAGCAGCAGGTGCTCAGCAGGGCTGCTCCTCACCCATCTCCCTGCAGGAAGATGCCCCACGGGGGAGTGCAGCCCCCCAGCCCTACTCACGTGCCAAGCGTGCCCGCCCGGTGCTGCCACACACAGCACATGGCCACCGCTCCCGCTGCAGGAGATGGCCTCACCTGGGAGCAGCGGGACTGCACGCAGGGTGCATGGTCTGCACTCACCCAGCTCCTGCCTGCCCTTAAATATCCCCTTCTGATCCCCTTCTTCCCCTCCCTCAGCCCACTCTCAGCACCAGATCCTCGGCCCGGTGCACAAGCGGGGGCTAATCTGTCGTCTAGCTGCCGGCTAATCAGATAAGTTTAGGGCAGAAAGTCTTTCTAGACAGAGGTACTTTCCGCGGGCGTCTGGCTCCAGATTTGCACAGGGTGAGGCAGACTGGAGAGGTTCTCCAACCTGCTGCTCCCCCCGGCATCCTCAGGGATGCTCAAATCCCAAAGCTGCTGAGCACCCGGTGCGTCTTCCTCCGCTAAGCCCGCACGGATTGCTCCTTATGCAAGCAGGAGGCTCATGACTTAAACGAGCCCACAGGTGAGTGGGAAGCCCGTTTCTCCTTTGCCAAGCACTTTTGGGTCTTATCCTCTTTTAGCCGCCACCTTTAAGATGCATTATGCAAATGTTTTGGTGTCTTAAGTCATTTAGGGGATTAATGTGAAGTGATTATCAGTTCTTTTTAATCATGCCAATCAATAACTGGATGTCAGGGACAGAGGACAAATGCAGATAAACGCTGCCATCAGCACAACGCTCGGGAAGGGGTGGAGGAGAGGAGTGCAGGGGGAGAGAAAAATAGGATCGTGACATCTTTGCAATGGCAGAGCATCCTGCATCCCAATGAGCACCTCTCACAGCCAAGCACACCAACCTATTCCTTCCTGTAGAAGGAATGGGCTTCTGCCTACACTGAAACACAGCTGCCTTCTACAGGGGAGGAAACTGCTTCAAATCTTAAGCTTTTATCCCCAAAAGCCACCTATGTTTTTAGGTGTCCCATCACATTTATCAACACCCCAGCACTGGCAGCGACACCTAAAAGACCTGACCCACGCCCAAGCAGGGCTGATGGCCATCCCTAAAATGCAGCTTTGCCCAATGGCTCTGCAGAAGACAAAGCTGACACGAAGGTGACATTGAGGGAAAAGGGACACAGAGCAGAGCACGTAGGATCAGACAGCTTTTAGCACATTGCACCATCCCCAGGAGCAGCTCTGCAGCACTCGGTTGTGCTGGGAGCTCACTCTGCCATCCCCTGCCTGTTCGAGACAGAAAACTTGCAGCATTTTCACCAGCAATTCTCTTAGACCTCCAATGAGCAAAGCCCAACTGACTGCTTTCATCCCAACATCTTTTAAAAAGAAAATTAAGTAACAACACAAAAAAAGCCAACCTTGAGGAAGCTTAACTTGGAACTGAATCTCAGTCCTCCAGGTGCCCCCTCTGTCCCCCTGCAGCCGGCAAAGCATCCTCCCAGCTCAGTCCTGCCCTACACCAACCCATCCCCACCACCACCAGCCCTACACCACCAGCTCCACTTGCCCTAAAACCCCCCAAAAACGGTGTTTCTCAACAAAAAGCAGCTCCTGGAAAAATTGCCCCCAGCACTCACCTCTGCCAAAAGCCAACTGCACACTGCCCAACCACCAGCACTGATACACAGTGAGCAGCACCTGGGCAGGGCTGGCCCACAGCTGGTCCTATCACCCAGCTGACCAATGCTGGCCCAGGGCAGCTCCCTCTGGCCAGCTGGGCCCTGATTGCTCCGTCCTGCTCACCCTGGCTGCTGGTAATTTGTGCTCACATCTTTGCCTTCATGGCTGGACTTGGTGATCTCAGTGGTCTCTTCCAACCTCCACCCCAGAATCACACCATCACAGACCCATTCAGGCTGGAAAAGACCACCAAGATCCCCATATGCAACGCCCACCCATGTCACAGTGAGCCTCTGTGTCACATCCCCACAGCTCCTGAGCAGCCCCAGCGATGGTGACAGCCCTGCAAGCAGACTCACTCACTGCAATCTTGTTGTGCACAGAACAGAGCTGCAGCGCACGCAGCCAGCACAGGACTGAAGACCCTTCTCTTGCAGGGAACGCAATCCAGTTTGCAGGATACTAACATCCAAAACCAGGGATGACAACGGATAGCAGCACCTGAAACCTGGCTGCTTGTCCTGGCAAGCATTAAAGCACCTCAAGACCAGCAACCGAGGCTCCCTGGAAGGAAAAATGAAACGGCTGGGAGAGCATCACCCCTACAGCTCCACTCCAGCGCAGCCCCACAGGCAGGAGCCCCACTGAGGGGATTGCAAAGAGCCACGTGGAGGATTTCTCCATCTGTACAGAAGGCTGTAATCCCCCCCCAGGTGCTCACTTGCAGCCCAGCAGGGCACAGGGCTCTGCTCTCCTTTGTCTCGCTGCCTGGTGCTGCCGACGCAGGCTCCCCCCACCCATGCACAAACACACATGCACACACAATCAGATTAAAGGTCTGATCCCTTCCAGTAGCATAATATTATATTTTAAAAACCGGATTAGAGAAGAGGGGCTTGAGCAAGATACACATCTCCCGAAAGGTCAAGGAGGAGACAAACAGCCTTCTGTGGGGCTGCAGGTTGCCATGGCAATACTGGGTTTGCATGGGGTTTGGGTAATTAATGCTTTAGGGCCGTGGTGACACAGGTGTTTGTGAGCAGCAGAGGTGCACGCCCTGAGCTTGGGCACTTCAGCTCCCAGAGCACTGCTGCAGGGAGAGGCTCTGGGCTCGCTGGGACGTGGCTCAGTGATGCTGACAGCTTCATAACCCCCCCATTCCTGGATGATGGGAGCTCTGATCTGCAGGTATTCCTGCTATTTTAGCTTTGCAATGCACTCCTAGCACGAGCAGCCTTGAGTCCACAACTGAGCTTCACCCAGCCCTGCATCTGAGCAGTGAACCCAGCCTAGCTGAACTCCTTTTGTCACTTCCAATCACAGCTGACGCGCTGCTCCCTATCTGAACCCATCGTCCTGGTTCTGTGAGCAGCTGCACAGAGCAGGATACGTTCAGGAAGGGTGGGGGTGGGAAAGGGGCAAAAAGAAGAGAGTGCTGATGGCTGAGGAAGGAATGGGATGCTGTGCTCACCAGGCTGTCCCTCCTGCTATAGAGCTAAGGGACACGCAGCAGTGCTGGGGACATCTCTAAGGCCAACTCTGGCCAACCATGTGGTGCAGAGCTCACACTGAACTAAACCTGAGGTCACTGTCGGTGTCTCGGTGATGTTTACTGCTGTGCTCTGCAGAGCCTCAGAAGGGAACCATCCCACCAAACATACTGTATGCCATGCCTCTGCCTATTCTCCACTGCAAAGAACACCCCAGGCTGCTGCAAGCTGCCATCCCACGGGAACCCTGGCCTGTCAGCGGGCTCTGCCTCGCTGCTAAGGAGGAGAAGGGGTTGGGTAATTACAAAAGCTTGGGCAGTTTCCAAATCCTAATGAATGGGAGCAGCAGATCCCCCCTCCAGGAGCGCAGGGAAGTGGTGATGAAGGCTCTCCCTGCCCAGAAGCTCGCCGTGCATCACAGGGAAGCGCAGCACTGAGATACGCTGCCAACTAATGGCTGCAAAAATTACCTCTGGAGGAAAAGAAACCGCCGCTAATGCTCTCTGCGAAGGCTCTGGCTGCTGTGCTATGCTTAATGGCACTGCCTGGCCCTCCGTCTCCCCAGCACGGGTGGCTCTGATGAGGCTCTGTAATGGCACAGTAATGGGGCACCAGCAGTCACTCGATAGCTGCAGTGCTTCCAGGAACAGGCACTCATGAGGCTGTCAGAGCAGCTGCCTGCATGGGGAGGTGCTCCCCACGGAGCCCCAGTGCAAACAGGGAAGGATGAGTCTATCAGATTTGCTATGCACAGCCATCCTCGTGGGGGTACCAATGGATCAGGAGGAGGCTGAGGGTACCAGGCATGCCACTAGCCTCTGTGAGTGACTTCTGGGAACATCAGGGTTGGGTGGTTGGTTGTTTTGAGCAACATCTGCAACAGAACCCTCTGCCCAGCAGTGCTTGTGAAGTTAAGCAGGGGAGCAGGCAAGGAATGGGGGGTACCCACAGCACCCTGGGGATGCTCAGCTGCTTCTGAGCCGCATTCGGGCTGGGAGCGACGCCTGCTAAATGTGTTTTACTTACGGAGATGAGCGGCGGCTGCATCTTTAACAAGGAGAAGGATGGGGAGACTAATGGATGGAGACAATTAACCAAAAGATAAATCA